CCGAGAAAGATTTTGAAAAATCTGCCCATCCTCACGGAAGTCAGCGATATGAAAATTGGGTGGTGGAGATGCTCAAGAAAGAACTGGGGCGCGATCTTTTTACGTGTTTTGAGCATCTAAAAGAATACAACAATTCTTTAATGATTAATGAAGATGTCCGCTCTGAGGATGCCCTTCGCTATCTAAAGGAAAATATAAACTATAAGTCATCGACCGATATGGAAAAGAAACTTTGTGTGCTATTTGACGATGCTGTTTCGGCTATCGAATGCTCCATCCCAGTGGTGAGTCCAGGTTTGCAAGTGTTGGAGCAACGTCTTGTTGATAAGTTATCTGGCGATGGCAACAAATCGAAGGGAATTATTTTTGTGAAAACAAGGCTGGTTGCTTTTGCTCTTCTCAACTGGCTTAGATGTTCCGCGTCTTTAGAAGGGTTGGTGAACAATCCCTCTGTTGTGATTGGTTGCGGCCAAAGAAATGGACTCGGTACGTATTATACAGAAAAGTGTGATGATGAACTTGGGATAATGCTAGATGGCAACAGGTTGATTGCAACGCAATTCGTATGAGAAAAAGGATATTTCAGCTTTTTGTTACATCGCAAGTATTTCCCCCATTTTAAACACACGTGATTCCAGGCTCCCCTGAGCCTTTGTCCAGAACGTCTTTCGCTAGTCTTAGTTTGGAGTAGTCATGTCGTAGGATGTACAAACTCTCCAAAATTCCTAGTTCATAATTCTTAGTTCTTAATTTCATTCAGGTGGTATGCCCAAAGCCAAACAAGATCGGGAGATAAGAAACTTTCGCAACGGTGACAGCAACATCATTGTAGCCACATCAGTCCTACTTGAAGGTATAGATGTCCCCGATTGCAATTTCGTCATCAACTATGGCATGCCTGGTAACGAAATAACGTTTATGCAAGCTCGTGGCCGAGTAAGGTCACGAGAGACTGGTCACGACAGTTGGCAATACGAGATTATCGTACCACATGATCAAGCCACGATGAAGGAGCGTGATATGGAAAAGGAGAAATTAATGAAAGACGCACTTTTGAAAGTAATAAATCAAAACAAAGAAGAATTTGACAAACAGGTAAGAGTGTCCTCTTCTCTGTCGTAGTTTGCTAAGAATTACAGTGTATATTGAGTCATACATGCTTACACTAGATCAAATAAGAAGAATTGTCGTTCATCCTCCACCTGAATATAATATAATCAATTAAGAAATAAAAGATGTTTACTGTGTTTGCACAGGCTTATGAAAACTGAGGAGAACTCAAGAACAGATCAGTTTAAGCCCGAGACCGAAGGGCGACAGTTTGTACCTGCTCGAGAGTTCTCAAAAACTTCGCCGAGGTTTGCATAAGCAATGCAAACACCAAAAAATTTCATTTATTCTTTTATAAAATGACTATAATGCGAAACGGAAAAATTTGAAACAAACAATTTAATTTTTCCTCAACATTTATTCATGGTTCATTTGTGAATTTTCTTTGAATGATTTGATTGGTTGAGCTCACATCGGTTATTTTATGAACAATTATTACGAAACATTTGCAAGTGACAATGAGTGCAAAATACCTTGCTAACATTTTGTTATTAGTGTTTGATTATGTAACATAAAGGAGGAGGGAAAATTGACATTTCTCCTTATTTGCAGTAGTTTACTAGAATTACCGATTTTTTTGTTTATGAAGTGCAACTTCGTCGTTTCATGTCAAGAGTACACTTTTGTGACTTTAATTCAAATTGTGCATGGACAAGGTAAATTACAAGATTTTAAGACAAGCTATTAACCGCTTAGGAGAAACACGTTGCAGTTTTAAAAGAGAAGATCAACCATTCAAAACCAGTAATACTTTTCTTAGATATGTAGATACTTTTAATTCTTATTCAATTATTGTAGATGTAGTATAAGGTAGAATGTTTATTTTATTTGTTATTATCGGTATGTGTTTACATATGTATACATACAACGTGTATATCAATGAAATTCCTCCATCTATGTATAGAGATATGAATACTTGTAGAAATATATTTTCTTGGATAGAGGAAGAGTCATATTTCGTTGTAACTTTAATGTTTTTAGTTGGTCGAAATCCAACAGAAAATACTCGAAGAGTACAATAAAATGTCGACTAAGAATCCTGCCAAAGATGTCACAGATGATGTAAAATTGTTCTGCAAGAAATGTGACGTGTTTGCATGCAAGGCAAAAGACATAAAGAAATGCTATACTTCTTATATTGTCCCCGATTACACGGAAAATCTTCCTAACGCCAGCTTTGAAGCCATTGAAGGCGCGCCAAGCACCGGTAGGTGTCCTGGATTTGATATGATCGGGAAGACAGTCTGCAAGAATTGTGGTTTCAACTGGGGTAAACGAGCAAGGAGCGAGCACGGGGATTTTCCACTTCTGAAAATTGCTAATTTCCGCGTTGAAATTGGTACTTTAAATGGAAGACGATTGTACAAAAGTGGTCTGACTTTCCCTACAAATTGGAGAAATTTGATTCTGCTGCATTCTAAAACCGAATAGATATCTTAACAGAAGTCCACTCGTCTCGGAACCTTTGATGTTTGTGTCCCCCACTTTTCTGGAGCAAATTCTAAGCAGACACGCCTTCCAGCAAGATACTTCCGCTAGATCGCAATAGAAAATATAGATGTTTTCACAAATGTAGCGTTTTGCACTACAAAAGCTTTGAACTTTATATTCTCTGCAAGATGATAACTCTTTATAAAAATTTCGGCAAACTTTAGCTTCAAACGTGAATTATCAGTACAATACTATTCCGTATTGATTTTGTGAAAGTATCTTGCTGGGAAGTCACGCATGCGCAGTAAAAAAATTAGGCACGATTTTAGCCGAGTGAGCCTTCTGTTAGATGTCTATTCTGTGCCCGACGAAAACAAAAATTAATAAAATAGAGACTTTGTCGTGGTGACAAATCTGAAAATAGTTCTAAAGATAGCAAATAGCATAGTGAATGGTAAAAGTAATACGATAAGTTGATAGTTCTTAGAAGAACTGTTTTAAGTAAAGAGCACTAACCCAATAGTTCTAAATTAAACGACACGATGCATTTCGGCAGACTACTCCTCAGGTTTCGACGTCTGCTAAATGAAAATTTACAATCTACCGATATTTATAATGCCAAGAAAGAGTGTACGTCATCTCCAAAAGGGGAGATGACGCTCAAAAGCAAAAATTGCCCTACATGAAATTCATTGATATAGAAAAACACTATATGCCTGGATTGCTAGGCTAACACATATTGTTAAGGTCAAAATTGCGCTTTTCAATATTCATATTTATGTTTTTGTTGATTGAGTGGTATTTTACCTTACCTTAACTATTTGTATCGATAAAATATTTTGTCCATGTGGTCACATGCGGTAAGATAGAAAAAAAGCAATAATCTTTAGCAAATAGTTACAAGTCTTGATAGTTAAAAATGAAGCAAGAAATAAGCAGGAAAGTAGGAAGACGAAGGCCTTAGGGCCGGGGCTTATCAGAAGATTTTCTACCAACAGAAAAATAATTTTATAATTGTGATCTTGTAAGTTTTTCGAGCATTGTAGTTTACAATCATTATGTTTAAGAAATGTTTAAATAATAGTCACATAAATCATGTGACTATGAATTGATTAGTGATACATTAATGAGATCAGTAGGAATTTGTCAATTGATTGCAAAAGAGTTAGCAAAAGACAACATGTGCAACATGGTAAATATGGCATGCAATTTGTAAATTTTTTCATGCATGCTTTCAATCTCAATATTCTTGTGTTTCTATGAAACATGTCGAAGGCCTACTGCATGTTCATCATCACCTCAGTCTTTGCTTCACAGTTCCATGAAGAAAGCTTTAGGGATTGGATGTATTTCTTTTGCCGTCAATAGAAGTAGCACAAGATGCAGAAGACACTTCATGCTTAAACTTTCACTCACGCCGTATAGAAAAAGAGTTTATATAAAGAAAAAGACACAATACTATTTTTTTAATGTGCTCGCTTTAAATGTTTGCCTTTATAGTTTTCCGTTATCGTGTGATGTTAAAATGTCACATTATTTCGCAAATACTTTATTCGAATAAACGTTGAAGCCAGAAAAATGTAATACGGATGACTATAAATTATTGTCAGGAAAATTTTGATGTCATGTTAGCGCCTTCTCCCCTGCCAAAAAAAGTCAAATATGGTTTAGATGAAAAATATATCTTTTACATATTTAAGTTAAGGGCATCTGCTCTCATCTGACAGCATTATTGAAATAATTAGCAAACGAAAAGGTAAAGAGAATTTGCTTTGTAATAAACTTCTTGCTATTTGCTTGTTAAAATTCATTTTGTCGATAAAGTAATTAATTTTTCTACTGCTTAGGCCACAAAAAGACCAAATACTGCACGCCTTTCGAGTAGAAACGGCCCGACGCTTCCCCTTCAGCTCATAATTGGGAGTGATGCAACACTCCCAGCACCTCGTATGCCTACGGAAGGACAGTTTTTGTAAAATAGTGCATTTTAATAATCTTATAAACAATAATAAAATTAGATAGAGATAGTTTGAATGAAAATAGAAAATAGGAATGGTCGTACATATTAATTAATATTTTCTCTTACTACTTACGACTTGTGTTCACATAAAGCAATTTTACGTATGTATTTAATTCGAGAATCACATAAAAGTAGCCAATTTTAAATGTTTTGTAGACTATGATTCTAGCAAAATTCTCAATTATTTAATGCTAGAATGGGTACATAGCGTCCACAGCAAAATTTAAAACTAAAAACAAACAAAAATTCCACAAAAAAAGGAAAAGCGGCAGAAACTGCATTTTGAATGGCTTGTGAAGGCATGAATAAGATGTTCAAAAATAATTTTGATTTTACGGGACGTTTAATGCAAATTGTGTAAATTTCAGAAAGTAAACTGAGCAGATATGCGTAAGTTAAGTCTTTCTCAACTTACGTGAAATCTTTTCGTGCACGACTCTCAGCTTTCGTGACATTTTTTCATGCAAAACTCTCAGCTTACTTGACATTTTTTCGTGCACGACTCTCAGCTTTCGTGACATTTTTTCGTGCAAATTTGTCAGCTTACTTGACATTTTTTTCGTGCACGACTCTCAGCTTTCGTGACATTTTTTTCGTGCAAAACTCTCAGCTTACTTGACATTTTTTTCGTGCACGACTACCTCTATAAGATTCCTCAACAAATTGTTTCTAATTTAATTACATGCACTAATACTGCAGTTACATCATAATAGCATTGATAGCGTTAATATTGATTCCCCATAAACGTATTTTATTTACTGAATAAAATCTTTTATGGTAATTCTTATCCGTGACCCCTAATGCTCGCCCCCCGTAACTTCACATTCAGCAGGACACCCCCCAGTTGCGTCACTGATTGATTTCAAAAGAACTTACTACGGAAAACATGCATATATCTATTATTATCTTTATAGATTGTCCATCTCCATTGTCTTTGAAAAGGTTATTCCATCTTTGTTATATTGGAGTTGCATTTGAGAGATTTTTTAGATGTTTAAAGCATTTAAGGTTGATTCAACTAACATGTCAAAAAGACAAGGTTTTTAAAATTTTCCAATATCCCTTGTTAATTATGCATATTAATTTTTGTAGGTTACAATGGGAAAGTTGTTGCATGTCTACAGTAGCCAAGACAGCCCATTTTAACTCCTACAATATGGGAAAAGCAATGAGTGGAATTTAAAGTCTTCTAAAATAGTGCATAATTTTGCTTAAAAAAATTGCATTGCTGGAGTAAATGGGCAAGATACATTTAGACTAATGTGGTATGACATCATATTTGTATCTGGCCGTGAGGGGAATTCCCAATATGGGTATTCCCAAAAGTTTTGTAACACTCAATGTCTATCTAAACATTTCTGTTAAATTCTGGATTTATAATTTGGCATACTGGTGTCAAATCCATTGACAATTTTTTCTCATCGAGTTCCTTACAATTTTGCACGAAATTTTATGATAAAAATGCAAGCCGATTGGAAAGACATTCGTCGAAGACAGCGTTATTTTATCCGAGAAATTGACCCATTGAAAGTAATAGAGGTTATGCAAGATGTTTTTACACAAGAAGACTGCGAGAATGTAAGAACTGCGTGTACGAATCACGGACCAATTGTTGCTGTTCGAGACCATTTGCTTGGGCGATTGAAAAGACGTGGTCCCAATTCATTGCCGAAATTCGTTTTAGCATTACGCAAAACCGGACAAGAACACGCTGCTCAACTTATTGATCCTAAGTTGAAAGGTATATCATTCATAATATCAACTTATGAAAAGACTGTTGAGGTCTATATGGTGAAGTATTGACTTAGGTTTTTGTACTGACTGAGCGACAAAGACGTTAGAAAACGACGTGAAATCTTTTATAATATGGCTTTGTTTGATTGCAACTGTTTTTGTTGTTATTTTGTTCGACGTTTATATCTTCGCCTCGAAACGTAGCATTTTTTTTCTGCGGGATAGTGAAAATCACTCGTTAGTGTCATTCATCACCACTGTTTGCTACATTTATTTTGTTGGCTCCTTTAGAATTTTGAACGAAAGATAAGTTTCTTGAAAAGACAAGGTGACTTGACCAGACCGCAAATCAACCAATCAGCATGAGCATTACCATTAATCTCAGCCATACGACAGGCTGTCGTAATTATATGGGGTTTATATTATTGTAAGATAATTTTATGCTGCTTTTGGCTCGAGCAAGTTTATAAATGCATTGCAGTTGTGTATTGAAAACTATGGCTTTATTGCCCTAATGTGATGGTAAAGTGTATTTTGTAGTGAGGGGAGCTCTTTCAAATTGTGGCAGGGATGATAGAGTTCTGGAACCAGGTGTTGCCGCAGGTATTCATTCTTCCTGTAATGTTATGCAACAAGTTTATATGTATATAAAACTCAGGATGTTGTGTCATATTTTCTTTTGTTGAAATAACTAGACATCAGAGTAAACATTCAATTGGTTGATTTTGCTGATGACCAGTTACAGAAAGTAAAAAAATTGCGTGAAAAATATGAAGTCTCTCACAGTGAAGATACATTATCCCTTCGTCAACATTTTAATGGTTTTCTTGGTGAAGTAAGTGTCCTGAAGCTAGTTTTTGACTTTTTAATGTTGTTTCATTGCAATATATATACCATTGCTTTCCCTTTGTGTAGGATACACGTAACTTTATTTCACTTGTCAAGACAAATTGGTCAGAACAAATGCCATTAATTTTAATTTTTCGTATTTCGAACCTTGATGTGGCTTGTGTACTCATGAAAGAATATGAAAATGGCAACCTCAAGTCAAGCATTATTAAAAAGCTTTGCAGCTATAACTTTGGAGACATTTGTTTTCAAGATTTGAACTTTAACCTTGTCATTGAACCAGATGAATCAAAGAAAGTGATTGAAACACTTGATAACTTTGGTGATTGTGAGTATAATTGTTTTTTGTTTCTTTCGCTTCATTTTCTTGAATAAGTATAATTTCCATATGGTAAACTAGATGGCAAATATACATAGCTTGATAGATCAGACAGTCACTTGTTTTTAAACTGGTGATATTTGGAAGCTTTATGATACATCTTACAAGTTACAATGACATAATATAACTTCCACAATACAGGAAAATAAACAGATGAGCTTTTTTATTCTGACAAAGAATTTTTGGGCTTCAGATAGGATCAAGTTGATGCTTTAGTGTGGTTTTGTTTGATACATTTTCTTTTTTATCACATCCTACACTTGAGTTGAAAGTTATTTTTGAAGCCATTGCACTGACCTTTAACTTGACCTATACTGTAAATAGTGCTTTCCACGTATGTTTTTTGGTAAAGTTTGTTGCATTTTTCGTTTGTGTTTAGCTGTTAATGTTCTGGTAGTGGGAATGGAAAAATTGAGCTTGAAACTACGCGACTACCAGAGTTATCTCGTGCAACCAGCCTTAGAAGGAAAGAACACCATAATTTGTGCACCAACAGGTAGTGGTAAGACATTTGTTGCCATGGAAGCGATTAAACAACACGTGTGCAGCTCCGGGCATCGGTACGTTGCATTCATTGTTACCAACCTAAGCCTCGTTTATCAACAGGAATGTAATTTGGCACAATATCTTCCCGAGTCCGTCGGAATCTCGAGTCTCTGCGGAAGTAATTCACCCACATCTTCTCTGCCTCAACTCCTTGAGGAGTATCAAGTGATAGTATTGACTGCGCAGGTCTTGGTTAATTCCCTGAAGAAAGATAAAACAGATGCACCAGGAGAAAAAGAGCTAACAATTGGGCAGTTTTCTCTTCTTGTTTTTGACGAATGCCATCACACGATCAAGGGTCATCCTTACAACGAAATCATGCGATTTTATTTGCGGGAAAAATTGGAGGTGTGTGTTTCTTGTTGAGGTCGTAGGCCATGTGGAATTTTGTTTTTGGAACTTAAAAATGTGCTCATTTTGATTGATTTTTTGTAAGTTTGTATTGCATTTTTTGAACAATTTTTATTCAAATGATATTTTCATTCTTAGAGTCCCAATCCCTGTCTGCCGCAAATCATTGGTCTCTCAGCTTCGCCCGGTATTGGAACCAGTTCGGCAGAGAAGCATATTATGGAGCTCTGTGCGAACTTAGATGTACAAGAAATACAGGTTTGTAACTTAACATTCACCCATATGCACTCTACTTATCGCAACATTCCTACTCGTTGAAGAAATCTTTATTATTTATATACTAAAATTCAGTGTGCTCGCATGTGTCGATTCCCCGAATCTTTTGGAAACCACGAGTTTGCGAATGTTTCCTTGAAAGTCTGAATTTATGTCCTTTTATTTGATTTTTCATAGCTCTTCGTGGGAACACAACCTGCTAGTACTTCCATTACAACATTTTCCCAGGAACAAGAGAACGCGTTCAGAGCAACTGTCGATCCTGTCATGTGTCGAATAGAAGTCATGATTTCTGAGAAAGATTTTGAAAAATCTGCCCATCCTCACGGAAGTCAGCCATATGAAAATTGGGTGGTGGAGATGTGTAAGAAAGGACTGGGGCGCGATATCTTTACGTGTTTTGAGCATCTAAAAGAATACAACAATTCTTTAATGATTAATGAAGATGTCCGCTCTGAGGATGCCCTTCGCTATCTAAAGGAAAATATAAACTATAAGTCATCGACCGATATGGAAGAGAGACTTCGTGTGCTATTCGACGATGCTGTTTCGGCTATCGAATGCTCCAGCCCAGTGGTGAGTCCAGGTTTGCAAGTGTTGGAGCAACGTCTTGTTGAAAAGTTATCTGGCGATGGCAACAAATCGAAGGGAATTATTTTGTGAAAACACGGCTGATTGCTTTAGCTCTTCTCAACTGGCTTGAAAGTACTACTTCTTTAAAAGTGTTGGTGAACAATCCTTCTGTTGTGATTGGTTGCAGTGGTCAAAGTAATGGAGTGGGTAAGCTAAATTCACGATGGTAACAGCTTACTCGCAACGCAATTTATATGAAAAAATAGGATGTTTCAGTTGTTACATCGTTGTTACAATATTTTTCCATTTTTGAAAATGAATCTAGTTTGTTTGTGGATTTCACGTTGCGCATTTGATTATGAACACATTTGATTTCAGACTTCTTCGTCCAATACGTCTTTTGTTGGTCTTAGTTTGAACTGCTCGTGACGTAGGAGATAAAAATTCACCAAAATTCTTAGTTCTTAGTTTCATTATGTTTCATTCAGGTGGTATGTCGAAAGCCAAACAAGATCAGAAGATTAAAACTTTCGCAACGGTGACAGCAACGTTATCATTGCCACGTCAGTCCTACTTGAAGGTATAGATGTCCCCGATTGTAATTTCGTCATCAACTATGGCATGCCTGGTAACGAAATAACGTTTATGCAAGCTCGTGGCCGCGTAAGGTCACGAGAGACTGGCACGACAGTTGGCAATACGAGATTATCGTACCAAGTGAACAAGCCAAGAGGAAGAAGCGTGATATAGAAAAGGAAAAATAATGAAAGACGCACTTTTAAAAATTGAGAATCTAAACAAAAATGAGTTCGATGAATTTGAGAGGCAGGTAAGGTTGTGTCATCTTTTTCTCCGTCTTTTAAAATTTCCTTAGTTTTATTTTATATTTATGAAATGTAACTTCGTCACTTTGCATCGAGATTCTTTTAATAGCATCATCTCATCTGCCGAAATGCTTGTCGTGTTTGAGCTATCTTTTTCATTTTGGTTTTCAATCGTAATTTTTTAGGAGCTTCTCAGTTGTCGTTCACGATGACAAATACACTGTTCAGAACAAAATATTAGCTGTTGATCAGTAACACAAGTCTCAGGAAGTAGAATTGTGTTTGTCGGCTTGAAAAATAACAGAATTTAAAAATGTCCTTGTTTAGAGCTAATTTTGTATGCTTAGTGAGAAAAAACTTGTTTGTGAAGATTAAATTTTTCTTTTTCTTTCAGTTGCTCAAAATCCAACACAAAATACTCGAAGAGTACAATAAAATATCGACTAAGAATCCTGCCAAAAATATCACAGATGATGTAAAATTGCTCTGCAAGAAATGTGGCGTGTTTGCATGCAAGGCAAAAGACATAAAGAAGGTTGACACTTCTCATATTGTCCCCCATTACAAGGATAATCTTCCTAACGCTATCTTTTCAGCTGATGAGGACGCGAAAAGTACCGGTAGGTGTCCTGGATTTGATATGATAGGAAGGACAGTCTGCAAGAAGTGTGGCCTTAACTGGGGTAAACGCGCAAGAAACGAACACGGGGAGTTTCCGCTGCTGAAAATTGATGGGTTCCTTTTTGAAGGTGGTGACCTAGATGGAAGACCTTCGTACAAAAAGTGGTCCAAATTTCCCTATAAATTCGACGAATATGATCCTACTGTTGCACCCTAAAACACTGCATCCTGTTATCTCTTGGAATGGAATTTTCAGTGGGGGGGGGGGGCGGAGGAGGTATCGTTGTAGCTACTTTTATTTGAAATGGAAAAATAGTATTAGTGGAATTGTACATTATAATGATTTTATCAATAAATAGTAGGTGTCACAGAAAATCGGCCCCCTGAAAAACTTATACTTTTATCTCAAAATTTGTGAAACTGGGTGATCTTTAAGTTATTACAAGTTATTCCGATTTTACAAAGTATATTATACCCCATGCGATAGAGGATTTTTAAAAGATCCATTACAAAAAAATAAAATAATATGTTTTTTATCGATGACGTTTTGACTTTAGCTTTAGACATCTTCCGATACAATGGAAGCTGTAAATTTGGTCAAATGTTTTAAAGCCAGTCGCACAATAACCATCGCATTTTCACGCGTCGATCAAAGAACAGGTAGTAAGAAAGCTTATGACTCAGAAAAACAGTCTGCAAACACTAAACACAAATAATTGAACGACTCACACATTTCACAAACACGTTCCGCCAACACAATCCGCATTACAAAACACTCAACAAACTCAACAAAAATCTGTCGGCGTCATAAATTGAATTTTATGCACAGAATAGAACTTATGCCAGTTGACTGTAATATCAACTGGAACGATAACTCTTATAGTTTTGTCCCATGATTGGATGAAGCCAAAAACATGCAAGTAAATTTTGATCAACTCCCCCCCTGAAATAATGCGTGTTTTCTTAGAGACAAACGTTTGTTTTGCCGTATTGACCGTTGAAAAACGTGAAAAATTATTTTTTGTAATTTTTTGACTAGTTTTGAGCTTGGAAATTGCATCTGCACTTCTGAATTTTTTCTACGGAGAGATATTTTCGAGGAGAAACGTAATCGGCAAGAATCGATGGCGATTTATCGACTGTTGGGGACTGCCTCAATTGTTTCGCCCAACAATTCACAATTTATAAAATTCAACTTTCAAAATCTCAGAAAACGCAATTTCCTATGAAATTCCATTCTCCGGGCCAAATTTCCTGGGGCATTTTTTTTCGGGGGAGACACAATTCCTGTGACACCGATCTTTTTTCTTGGGATGTGACTGATGATAATAATTGCTTTCCCGCGTTTAGAGTAGATTCCCGATTATTTTCTTTTATCGGTGTGAATTTTTCTTGATGAGATTTATCCTGCTGAGCAGGTTGCGACTCGCGAATGGTGATCTTGGGTTTATAATGCAAATAAAAGCTATCACGTGACTTCAAAGTATCAACAATAAATGCAAATGAATGAAAGCTGTCTGAAAAAACAGGTGTGTGATTACACTTTTCCATATACCTGCTTCGTTTTAAGGAGAAAAAATGTCTGGAAACTTTTCTGCTGAAATCGTGCTGAAAGCTTAAGCTTAAGCACTCGACTATATTGTTCATCTTATTTGTCAAGGTGAGTGGCCGATGATTTAGAACCCAATTCCCTAGATGTCTGACTACCGAGTCAAGGTGATGCAAGGATATCATCGTTAATAGTGGCAAAAAGCAAAACTCTTTACAAGAAATATGCTAAAAGAATGTTAGAAAAACCAAGCATGTCAAACATTTTACCAATTCAACTCTGCAACAGTATATCAAAGCAGATTTTGCCATTTTACTCGTACGTATTGGCAGTTTTGCCACCTCTCAAGATGGCGGCTTGCCTCACTAACTTGTAAATATGCCTTAAACTAAAATACCTGGAACGCTACCTGAAGCAAATAATATAATTGAAGCTAAATCTTACACCCAGATACGCGAGATTTACACCCAGACACGCGTGTGTAGTGTTTCGAGATTCTCTCGCGGAGTGAAAATTGATTGATTCCACACGCGTGTCTGAGTGTAATCTCGCGTGTCTGGGCATAAGATTAGGCTTTAAAATTATTAGGCTTTTCTATTACGGGTAGCGTTCCTTGTATTTCAGTTCAATGTAAATATAGAATCTCGGCGGAGTCAGGTATCTAGTAGACTGGGTTCTACCTTATTGTGTGGGTCTTATTCATTAGGTGTGGATGTGATTGATCAAATTCATCTGCGTCATTCATTAATCAGAGAGTGTCAATTTGTTTTATGATATTGTTTTACAGGTTCTTAATAAGAAAAATTTGAATGAATTTAAAAGTTGTTTCTTCGTTCTCATAGCAACTGTACCTTAGCACGTAGCTAGTGTTAGAATTTTCAAAGAGGTAGTACATTGTATTATCAAAGGAGCGTATTTCATCAGTAAGACTTCTGCTACAGAAAGAGGTTAGTGAAATATTTCAAAGTATGTATCGTACGTTATGTCTAAAATCTCACATAGCCACTTTTTCAGAATTTGTTTCTCTTAATTTCATTGCGTCGATCACCTGCCAGGGCGCGTCATGTTGATGTTGAGCAAACTTCAATGTTTTCAGTTTATGATTTCACCGTAAAAGACGAAATTCGTCACATAAAAGTATTTGTGCCCTAGGAAAACGTGGAATATTATATTATTAAGCTCGTACTTTTCCATACAGCTAAGCATTTTGTCTTCCTCGTAGTTAAAGAGCGTTTCCATGGTCAAATCTCGAGAGTACTTACTTAGATGAAATGTTTGAAAAGAAAAAGTATTCTTTTGACAAAGTTCCAGTAACATCAATTTTGGAAGGCCCAACTAACATGGTATCATGAACTGAGTTTCTAAAAACCCAGCCGTAAATGCAAATATACACTGCTCTTAACGCGTAAAAATCCTTTTTTATGCATGGTGCTACAAGGCAACCATAAAATAAATCATGAAAGTGTTAAAAATAAGCACTAGTATTTTATATTCGTCGATGAATGCTGAAATTCATAATCTGTGCCTTATGAAGCAACGGTTTCCTAATAAATTACATTTTAGGAGATATAAATCCTTGATCTTTTTCATGTCGATCGAGTAAAAAGAAACCGCACGAAGCTAATAACGGCTGTCTTTTCAGACATTGTTGTCTGCTGTTCGCGTATGAACGGAATTTTGACGTGAATTAGACGTGATCACGTGCCTGATTTGATGTTTCAGCGTCCTTCACTTGTAGCGTGGGCGAGATCAATCGGCGTTTTAAATTTTTAATGTGGGACTAATTACGTCATTTATGAATACTTACTTACGTAGTTCAAAAGACATTACTGAACAATTAGCTATATAATTCACAAAATCATTTTTGTACGTAGAGTTGTTTGAAACATCATATTCTCTTGCTACTTTCGAACAACGATGTTTATCATCAAGAATATTTTACATTTTAACGATACTCTCGGATGATACTTGTTTAAAATCGTCACTTCGGCAACATCGGTATTTTCATTATATGCTAAAACATGCTGTGGGTGGAAATTAATTGATTTGCAAAGTTCATCTTGAATTATGATAAACGAGTAGCAGCATTGTTCAACAGATAGTTCTTCGGTAGCGTTTCATCTAGTTTATAGCTAACTAGAGACAATGTTACGACAGCGCTATTAACTTACTTTGAACGTATGTCTGACTTCTAAAGCCGATTCTAACAAGATGATTAGGCATATAATTTTTTTCACCTTCAAAAAGAGTTTCTTTCTTAATTCGTACGTGAACTTAAAAATATGAACAGTGAACTAAATTATGATTGACGGAGATGAATTTCATTTTTATTAAAAAAAAACTTCAAATCCTGGTACAGGAGTTTGAAAATATCGCGCAAAAAGTTTCCTTTTGAGGGATTTTGCTTTCCGTGATTACTTTTTCCTGGCTGAGTCTGAGCATGATGTCATGGTAGGAATGCAATTAACTTTTAATATGTGGTGTTGTTAGCTATAGCAACCGTCATTACTAGTTATTGTTCAGTTTCAGCAGTTGACACGGAGCTAGCTATCCTCACCTTGTTAACGTCTATTTTGCAGAATAAAAAGTAACTAAACACAATCCAGTCGTCAATGAAAATGTTGAATAAGGCCGAGTACCTTTTTTTCGCAGGTAAGTTAAGGGCATCTGTAATTTCCAATTATACTAAAATGATTGTCTATGCTCAAGTGGCTCGTCGCTGTTTTCCACTTCGAAATGAAAGTTTGCATTCTCAAATTCTTTTCAAAAACTGTTTTTGCGTTCATTGATTCATATGTAAATTTAATACTTGTATTGTGTGATAAATTTAAAAAACCAAAAGATATTTACTGTGCTTGCACAGGCTTATGAAAGCCAAGGAGATCTTTTCCCTTTATTAAATTACACGAAAAAAAAACACGAAAAACTTCATCGTGAAGAATTTCTGCCAAAAAACCTTCTCAAATGAAGTTAGGTTTTAGGGAAGGTTTTGATAGACCTTTTTCTCACAAATGCATCGTGCTGTTTAGTAATATTTTTCTACCATTCACCATATATCAATTATGTTATCGAAGAGTGTATTTAATAAATTAAGTTAATTACCACGACTAAGCCTTTGGTAATTAAAATGGAGAATGTTTTGTGTTTACTATTATGTGAAGAGCCCAAACAATGGCAACTGTAATCCATATAAGCTCCCAAAACATCCCCAGAGCACACTTTCGTTCCTAGATTCCCTGATAGAAGGACGAGTAACTGCGATCTCTATATAGACTGTGATTTCGTGAATTTCATACATTCGTTCCTAGATTCCCTGATAGAAGGACGAGTAACTGCGATCTCTATATAGACTGTGATTTCGTGAATTTCATACATTCGTTCCTAGATTCCCTGATAGAAGGACGAGTAACTGCGATCTTTATAAAGACTGTGATTTCGTGAATTTCATACATCAGAATTTTGGTCCTATCCAATCGATTAAGCACACAGCTCTAACATGTTAGGAATTGGTTTAACTGGTTTTGATAACGAGTTTTTCTTAATAACATACAATAATCAATTTATTTTTCCATGAAGTTATTCCTGAAAGTTTAAATGTTGAAATTTTTTCACTCAAAAACATTCAATGATTCAAAACTATTTTTCGAAATAAAAATTCCAAAACTGTCCTGGATCGTAATCGTTTAAAATTCGTGCAAGTCAGCTTTCCCTAAACTCTACAGAAATCGAAGCTTCCGCACGCCTATGATTAAGACTATGTTGGCAAATTATCAATGAAAAAGCCAATAATTCTATTACTACGATATCATCACTTATGATAAATAAGAATTAGCATAAATTATATATGGACTAGAAAAATGTTTAATTTTTTATGTAGAACAAAAAAATTTATAAAGATGCGTCTTGTGTTTTAATAACAAGCAAATTTTTTTAGCTGTATTGCTGCATTGTGTAAAATTTGGTCAGCAATCTTCACAAAATGCATCTGCCACAAATCCGTCCAGCATTTCGACATCACACAGCTATGCATCAAACATGGTGACATCATCCGGACATGCATCAAACATGGTGACATCATCCGGACATGCATCAAACATGGTGACATCATCCGGCCATGCATCTAACATGGTGACATCATCCGGCCATGCAGTGAACATGGTGACATCATCAGGCTATGCAGCTAACATGGTGACATCATCAGGCTATGCAGCTAACATGGTGACATCATCAGGCTATGCAGCTAACATGGTGACATCATCAGGCTATGCAGCTAACATGGTGACATCATCAAACTATGCAGCTAACATGGCGACACCATCAGGCCATGCAGTTAACATGGTGACATCATCCGGCCATGCAGCTAACATGGTGACATCATCCAGCAATGCAGCCAACATGGTGACATCATCCGCCATGCAGTTAACATGGTGACATCACCCAACCATGCAGCCAACATGGTGACATCATCCGGCCATGCAGCTAACATGGTGACATCATCCGGCCATGCAGCTAACATGGTGACATCATCCGGCCATGCAGCTAACATGGTGACATTATCCGGCCATGCAGTTAACATAGTGACATCATCCCGCCATGCAGTTAACATGGTGACATCATCCGGTGTAAATGTCAGCAATAAAACAACATCAGCCTATATTGCCGCTAGTCTGACTGCTACTTTGCCAACCCCTTCTTTAAAGTCTACAACACAGTCAACGCAATCTCAAGTTACAAATACCACGAATAACACGCAAGTCTTACAACCAGCAGTGTCGAGAAATAGCATTGAGCCATCGAAATCAGGCAAGGAAGATTCATTTTGAACTTATTGTCTCTATCATTATAGTGCTAGCAATGCGCTTGTATGGATTTTCGCTCTCTTTTTGCCCAATGCTCTCTTTTAAAAGTTTCTTTCAATCATGCAAGAGCAGTAGTGTTGCCAGCATGCTAATGAAGTCCTGATTTTTTTCTGGCTCGCTCATTCAATAATATACTCTACATATACGAGGAAGAAAACCTGAGGGATGGCTACACTTTCTTTCATGAATGAGTTTTGATAAGAAAGTTTAACAGCTGCTTGTCTCCTTTCCAGCCTTGCGATGTTAAATCTGAATAATAGGATTTTCAATTCCTAACCACTAGATGAAAATGTTGAATGTCGAATTGGAGATGATCGGTAAACTACGGTGGCTCACAAGGCCACCACACAAAATAAAAATATTAATACACACACAAAATAAAATACACACATAAAATAATACACACAAAAATAAAATACACACACAAAATAAAATACACACACAAAATAAAAATACACACACAAAATAAAAATACACACACAAAATAAAAATACACACACAAAATATGATTGCGGGCGCTTGCAGTGTCGGCTTACGGAATTGCTCGTAATTGATCGCATTTGTTTTCAAAGTTCTAATGGTTCCAACTTCCTGAGTACATAACAAAATTCACTGATTTCACTGTGATCAATTATTTCAAAGTTGCTTACGATATTGCTCCCCGTATTCTGGTTAAAATTAAGGTTAATGTGTTGTCCTTTGAAAGGACATTATTGCTCTAGCCTGTCCTGTATTTGTTATAAACAGCTTTGGGGTACTTGAAGTTGAAGTTAACGGACTTGCAGAGCTCGAAGGGCAACTGCTTGAAGAGACGCTACTCGTCATTGACGCTTCAGAACATTTTGGCAAAGAAGTTAATCTTCCCAAACGCACACCGCATTTGTGACAAAAAGAAGCTTCGTCAAGTGATTGTGCACCACAGTTGGCACAAAACATAATTATGCCAGGATTATGCAAGAGCTTGCTTTCGATTCCTTTCCAAATGTAATTTCAAATGTTTCGCAGTTGAAACAGTTAAATACGACGACAAGTCGACCACATGTTAAAATCACAATTAGTGAATTACACATATCTGATTACAAACTGATAATATGATAGTCAGACCATCCGACACTGCAAGCGCCCGCAATCATATTTTGTGTGTGTATTTTTATTTTGTGTGTGTATTTTTATTTTGTGTGTGTATTTTTATTTTGTGTGAGTATTTTTATTTTGTGTGTGTATTTTTATTTTGTGTGTGTATTTTATTTGTGTGTGTATTTTATTTTGTGTGTGTAATGTATTTTGCGTGTGTATTTTATTTTGTGTTTTAATTTTTATTTTGTGTGTGTATTAATATTTTTATTTTGTGTGGCCCTTGAGCCACCGTAGTAAACTAGTTGTCACACTGATAAACTTATATTTTTGGCCTTAGGATGGCTCAAAAGTTTTGAGATTTAGATTTCTGAAATGGCATTTTCAGCATTCCTGAGAAGCGAGAACCGTACAATTCGAAAATAATTTAGGTGTGCAAAAATGTTTCAACGGAGAAAAGGCAAAATCTCAAAATTTCGTGGTTAATAATTTTGTGTGATAGACAAACAACTTAAAACATTTGCATTTATAATAAAATTGATCAAGGCCTTTGAACTTCTCGAGCTTGCTGATTTACACAGTAAACATTGATCGAACACGACAGTAAACATTGTCTCCACATTTCCACGTTTAGGTAATCAATATATTTTCACCTTTGCTAAATTTTAGAACTGCCCATTTTCCAACAAGGTCTTTGCATTTAGGAAAAGTGGGAGGCTTTATGTGGTACAAGGCTTTTAACATGACCGCAGTTTTGATGATTCAGAAGGCATAATTATTAATTTAGGGTTTCATCGTATCTTTTAGGAAACAACCAATCTGTTGCGAAGTCTTCGCGGGTGGTTGACAAGTCAGGTAAATTTTTTGTTTTCAGTCATATTATGTAAAGTAATAAGTGCATAATATTGAAGGAATACGTCTATTCTTTCACCCAAGCCTATTTCCACAACATATTATTTCTCTCAAAACTTGTGGTGTAGAGAAGCGAAGAAAGATGATATCAGTGCTGTAGAACTAAATTTATCAGAGGGGAGGCTCTCTTGACGTTTTTGTTAACAGTGCCCTTTTAAAATTGCCAATTTCAAAAGTGGAAGGGGGGCTCCTCCCCCAAGCGCCCCCCCCCCGCTTCTACACCGCTGGATGATATGCAGATATACTGTTTGTATTAATGTGAATTAATTACATTTTCACACCATTAATTAACATACAGAATTAGCAATGCATGAAAGCTATGGAATATTATGAAATTTTTCGATACCTTAGGCTGGCTGTTTGTAAAATGATGAAAAGATTTATTTATCGTCTTGATGATGATGTTTTTCCCATCTCTTTAAATGACACATTTGAAGTATTGTCTTTCTTCGTGTTTTTTTTTTAGTTTCGTGTTACTCGTGTGTATATAATGCATCGGGTGTATGCAATAAACAAAGGAAAACATGCCAGGAACCTAATGCAACCTGTTTTCATTTGGAAGTGGAGTATAAGAATAACACATCATTCCGCAGTAAAGGTTGTACTGCAATCAATGAAACGTGCTCCAATTTTTGTGCGTCTCTCAATCAAACTGGGCAAGTCAAGAATTGCTCTTCATCTTGCTGTAGTCACAGCTTGTGCAACGACAAGAGCGACAAAAACGTCAACAACGGCAAAGGTTCCGCTTTGATTGTCCATCTGGCTGGTTGGCTTCTTCCCTTTGCGCAAGGATTAATCTTTTTGATGGTAATTCGTTAAAATGTAAACGCGGCTTCTTCATTTTGACACATTTGCACGACAATTTAATAGCTATATTAGTGACATACCTGTATTGTGACATAACTGTAATAAATAACCGTGTGGTTTATATAAATAAAACAAAAGTCGGATGCTTTCTCTTTACGAACAACTGTCTACCTCATCAATGTCTTCACTTCACTATACGTTTGGTGGATGGGAACAAGGGGATCGGAAGGGTTGAAATATGGCGCGTCTTGAATGAAAACAACTTGTTCAAATATTGTTCAAATTCTTTGAATAAAAGATGACAACTTTTCAGTGAGCATTTTTTTGCAAAGCTCTTGGGCCTTGCGAAGTATTTTTTCTTTGTTCACCATGGATATGACATCGAGCATTGTTGTTGACGATGTGGGCGAGTTGGCCAGCATTTTGATCGATGGAAGCGATCATTTTGGCGTTTCCACAGTGTTGTTTGATTCCCACGAGGAGTTGATATGGGTGGGAAACGAAGGAGTAGGTGGTAATCATTGTGTACTTTATTGTGTACTTGTATGTGCGTACGAATACGGAATTTGGGCCAGGTTGTCCATGTTTCTGTCGCCGATGTTTGGTTTGTTGATGTTGGAACTAGATAAATCATTAGATTTATAATCTAAGTTCAATCACATTGCTTCAATGTCTAATGTGACTTCATTACCTCATGTTACCTCAAGACCACTATTTAACAGTTTACGACTTTTGTTACACGAACATTACTTTATTTCCTCATGTTACATCACGACCATATTTACCTCCATACACCGATTGTTGCACCAGCATTCATTACTTCATGTTACCTCAAGACCACTATTTAACAGTTTACACCTTTTGTTACACCAACATTACTTTATTACCTCATGTTACATCACACCATATTTACCTCCATACACCGATTGTTGCACCAGCATTCATTACTTCATGTTACCTCAAGACCACTATTTAACAGTTTACACCTTTGTTACACCAACATTACTTTATTACCTCATGTTACATCATACATATTTACCTCCATACACCTATTGTTGCACCAGCATTCATTACTTCATGTTACCTTACAACGTACCATATATTACCTGGAAACACCTCATGTTATATTGATTAAAACTACTTCAATACCTTGTGTAGTCTCATGACCACATATTGCCTGTATACACCTCATGTTACACCAACATTAACTTCATTGTACTTCATGTTGCTTCTATATTTTACATCAACCTCAATATATTTCAATTTTACATGTTCCTTCAGGACCACATATTTACAACTTTGATAACATGAACATTATTTCAATACGTCGTTTTACTTCATAAACTGTCACTCGAGAATAGATTTGTGTTAAATAAGAAAATAAGTAATCTTTTCATTGTTAGTTATCTTCTATTTGCACTTTTTTTGCTCACTAAGTTTTAGATGAACTTGTGATGCTATATATCCGTATGAAAATTTGTTTTGTCATGTCTTATTATAATTATGTGTGCAATGGGAAGTTTATTACCAATTTACATTGAATAATCTGCTGTAGGGTCATATTGCTTCATACTTTGGATCAGAGATGCAGAAATACACATCATTTCAATCTCACGAAAACGAACGATATTTGTTAACAAATGATGAAGGAGTTTTGTCACTTACTCATAATGAGATACGATTCACAAAAAGACATGGAATAAAATTATTTAGCCTAAGGTATTGTGCAGACTGTTTATTGGAACAACACATTCAGTCATTTAATGATCTGCTTGCATTTGAGGATGAACAATGTACAAAATGATTTAGTTTAAAATAATATTGATGCTATTTATTAGAACAGCATCTGCAGTCTTTCAATGATCTTGTTTGCTATGGAGTTCAAACATTGAATGAAATTATTTAGTTTGAAATATTTTTGGCACTATTTACCAGAACAACACCAACAGTCTTCAAACGTTTGCATGCATTTGTCGCAAATTCTCATATCTTAAATTGTGAAAGTTAGTTCCTAATCACGGGGGGGGGGACACCGTCTTAAAAAACTGGGGGTGTTCTGGATTCTGGCACTGACTTCTTGTAGTGTTTTTATTTGATATAAAAGCCTGCACCGACTCTTTTTGCCCGCCATTTTTTGGGCTTAAGAACAATTATCGTCTACATGTCATTGACTTTTTTATCTACCCAGTAACTCAAATATGACGGATATGCAGTGTATGCTTCAGCAAGATGACTCAACAATACTTGTAAGAAAAGCCTGCACCGACTCTTTTTGCCCGCCATTTTATGCGCTTAAGCACAATTATCGTCTACATGACATTGACTTTTTTATCTACGCAGTGGTTCAAATATGACGGATATGCAGTGTATGCTTCAGAAAGACGACTCAACAGTACTTATAGCTGGACATCAGAATGAGATATTCGAATTGGATCTCCATCGTCACAAGATTGTAAAAGAAGTATGAAAGCCTAACTTGCTTTGTTTTCGTCTTTTTTCTCTGTTTCATCTAATGCATTATAAAATAACGTGATAAAACGCGTGCGCAGGTTGGCCTCTAGCTGAATGGATTTGTAGTAATCTGCGCAAACCGATCTGAGCTAAATCCATTAAATTTATCAAAGAGAATCAGCAAATCAACCATGAATACATGTTAGAGGAAAATGAAAACATTTGTTTTAATTTTATCTGTTTCGCATTATTAATATTTTATAAAAGAAATGTAAGATGTTTTTTGTATTTACACTGGCTTATGTAAACCTTGGAGATGTTTGTCAGAACTCTCGAGCATGCGCAAATCCTGACCATGCATTGATCCGCTTTCATGTTCTCCCAAAGCTCTCCACGGTTTTCATGAGCCTCTCCGAAACATCGTTTATTTGACTTGTTGTTTTTCGAGATCAGGGATTGGTTGTGGCGTCCAATTACCAATGGGCAGCACAATCACTTCCTTGTTGCCATGGAGACGTAAGTAGCGCATCGACGTAGCCAACCCTAAAGTTCGGTCGTGCTATCGAAATAAAAATGGTTTTTCCCTGAAAGGGACGCCCCCTCGAAGGAAACCCCTTTTCGAAAGTATTCGCCATTTTTATAGAACTTTACTACATTTATACTTTTATCCAAATAAACATTCTGTACATTCATGTACACTTAACTACTGCACCTATACGTACCTTTAAGCACATTGAAAAATACCGTGACAACTGGAGTTGAAGATGCTTGAAAATGCAACTTGAAACTAAGCGTCCTCCAAGACTAAACGCCTCCCGAAAGTAGCCGTCTTTTGAGGCCTCTAATATAGAAGATAGCTGCTTTCGAGAATCGACGGTGTTTCGGTTTTCACTATTAAATACATATGTATGTGCATAATGCTAATGATCTGAATGTATTTTTTCCGTAGCTTTGCACTTTCCAAGACAAATTAAGGATTGATCACGAATACTTAGCTCAACGTAATGTTTTTATCAAACACAATCATTTTCTATTGCCATTTTAGTATTTGGTTGAACCTGGAACGTGTATCATGAAAGTTTCATCAAGATATCTTTGCTGTGGCGACACCAGTGGAAAGGTTCTTGTTTATTTCATTGATATTTTTTAATGCTTACCGAATGAAAAGCAAGACCCCTGAACACGGGCGGTAATTGCACGTTGACTGCATGGGGCCATTAAAATGAATAGGCTACTTCCCGCCAAAATTTGTAGCCAGCACTTTAACTAGTCCCAGTCTTTCCACGCACGGCCCAAAGAAAGTTCATTTACGACGATAAGCTAGAATACAGCACACGCTTGTCTGTGGGTAGAATTTGGCTTCATGCAAACACAGGCATGTTTTCCTCCAGTTATGTATTTAATTCATGGTGGGGAGACAAAATTCATATATTTAACCATGCCAGGCTGATTTCCTTCAAAAGTTGCCTGATTGTTTTCAAAAGAAATAAGCCAGGCATAGCACAATGTATGAATGTTCCACCACCCCCCACAATTAACATACGATGGACACCTATCGGCCATTTAGATCTAGACTAAATTGTGTACGCTGTACTTGTTTTAAAATGTTTTGCAACTTTGTCGATTTTTTCATGAATACGATGTCATGGCTAAGATTGTGATTCAGAATCAATCACTGTGTATTTGGAGTTACCTAGCGATGCCGGTCGTTTTCTATTGGTTTTTGACTTGAAGTTTATTGATGAGTGCCGGTTTTTGATTTGTAGCTGGTCGTTTTCTATTGGTTTTTGAGTTGAAGTTTATTGATGAGTGCTGGTTTTGATTTGTATTTATAGATTCGGTTAGGGATCCGAAAAGTTTGAATTGTGAGCACGTTTTCTCTGCTCATTCAGGAGCGTTGTCCGATTTCGATGTCTTGGGCAATACATTGATCACATGCGGTTTTTCGTCAAGGTACTGAATATGTTATTTCGGTCCCCCACCTCTAAAACCGAGTACGCTGTCTCTATCCCCCCTCTGCCCCCTCGCTAAATAAGTTGCCTCTACTCCCTTCAACCTCCTTGTCCTCCCCTCACTGAGAGTGTGCCCTCTTTCCTTCTCTCACTAAATACTTTGCCTCTATTCTCCTGACTCCTTTTCTCTTTCACTTTGGATTCTTTTCTTTATTTTCTTACTGAAATTTCCTTTATTCTTTCCTGGACTCCTTCCTTTCATTTGATGCGATCTCCTCTTCCCGAATCCTTTGCCTCTATTCCCTTCTCCCTTTTCTCACCAGTTACTCCACCTTTGCTTTGTATGGCACAATTTTAAACTGCTCTGCTTGCCCTTCAACTTTCTTTTTCATGCATTTCTATAATCTTTTTAGGCATGGTCATTTGGCAGTTGACCGCTTTCTAATGATGTACGACATAAGAATGCTACGAAGCCTGCCTCCCATACAGGTTTCTAGCCTACAATAGATTTACGTAGTTATTTTCAATGCTATTTATGTTTTACCCAAGTGTTCATGTAAAGTGTTCATGTATTAACTATGTTTTCTATAGACTCCGATGTTAGAGCCATTTATGCTCAAATTCTCCAGCACCATGTCATCAAGAGTGCAAGTTGTCTCACAAGTACGTAACTATGCACCTTAAGACGTTCGAAAGTTGTCTCACAAGTACGTAACTATGCACCTTAAGACGTTCGAAAGTTGTCTCACAAGTACGTAACTATGCAACTTAAGACGTTCGAAAGTTGTCTCACAAGTACGTAACTATGCACCTTAAGACGTTCGAAAGTTGTCTCACAAGTACGTAACTATGCATCTTAAGACGTTCGAAAATTGTCTCACAAGTACGTAACTATGCACCTTAAGACTTTCGAAAGCTGTCTCACAAGTACGTAACTATGCACCTTAAGACTTTCGAAAGTTGTCTCACAAGTACGTAACTATGCACCTTAAGACGTTCGAAAATTGTCTCACAAGTACGTAACTATGCACCTTAAGACGTTCGAAAGTTGTCTCACAAGTACGTAACTATGCAACTTAAGACGTTCGAAAGTTGTCTCACAAGTACGTAACTATGCAACTTAAGACGTTCGAAAGTTGTCTCACAAGTACGTAACTATGCAACTTAAGACGTTCGAAAGTTGTCTCACAAGTACGTAACTATGCAACTTAAGACGTTCGAAAGTTGTCTCACAAGTACGTAACTATGCACCTTAAGACGTTCGAAAGTTGTCTCACAAGTACGTAACTATGCACCTTAAGACGTTCGAAAGTTGTCTCACAAGTACGTAACTATGCACCTTAAGACGTTCGAAAATTGTCTCACAAGTACGTAACTATGCATCTTAAGACGTTCGAAAGTTGTCTCACAAGTACGTAACTATGCATCTTAAGACGTTCGAAAGTTGTCTCACAAGTACGTAACTATGCAACTTAAGACGTTCGAAAGTTGTCTCACAAGTACGTAACTATGCACCTTAAGACTTTCGAAAGTTGTCTCACAAGTACGTAACTATGCATCTTAAGACTTTCGAAAGTTGTCTCACAAGTACGTAACTATGCACCTTAAGACGTTCGAAAATTGTCTCACAAGTACGTAACTATGCAACTTAAGACGTTCGAAAGTTGTCTCACAAGTACGTAACTATGCACCTTAAGACGTTCGAAAGTTGTCTCACAAGTACGTAACTATGCACCTTAAGACGTTCGAAAGTTGTCTCACAAGTACGTAACTATGCAACTTAAGACGTTCGAAAATTGTCTCACAAGTACGTAACTATGCACCTTAAGACGTTCGAAAGTTGTCTCACAAGTACGTAACTATGCACCTTAAGACTTTCGAAAGCTGTCTCACAAGTACGTAACTATGCACCTTAAGACTTTCGAAAGTTGTCTCACAAGTACGTAACTATGCACCTTAAGACGTTCGAAAATTGTCTCACAAGTACGTAACTATGCACCTTAAGACGTTCGAAAGTTGTCTCACAAGTACGTAACTATGCAACTTAAGACGTTCGAAAGTTGTCTCACAAGTACGTAACTATGCAACTTAAGACGTTCGAAAGTTGTCTCACAAGTACGTAACTATGCAACTTAAGACGTTCGAAAGTTGTCTCACAAGTACGTAACTATGCAACTTAAGACGTTCGAAAGTTGTCTCACAAGTACGTAACTATGCACCTTAAGACGTTCGAAAGTTGTCTCACAAGTACGTAACTATGCATCTTAAGACTTTCGAAAGTTGTCTCACAAGTACGTAACTATGCAACTTAAGACGTTCGAAAGTTGTCTCACAAGTACGTAACTATGCAACTTAAGACGTTCGAAAGTTGTCTCACAAGTACGTAACTATGCACCTTAAGACGTTCGAAAGTTGTCTCACAAGTACGTAACTATGCATCTTAAGACTTTCGAAAGTTGTCTCACAAGTACGTAACTGTGCAACTTAAGACGTTCGAAAGTTGTCTCACAAGTACGTAACTATGCAACTTAAGACGTTCGAAAGTTGTCTCACAAGTACGTAACTATGCATCTTAAGACGTTCGAAAGTTGTCTCACAAGTACGTAACTATGCAACTTAAGACGTTCGAAAGTTGTCTCACAAGTACGTAACTATGCACCTTAAGACGTTCGAAAGTTGTCTCACAAGTACGTAACTATGCATCTTAAGACTTTCGAAAGTTGTCTCACAAGTACGTAACTATGCAACTTAAGACGTTCGAAAGTTGTCTCACAAGTACGTAACTATGCAACTTAAGACGTTCGAAAGTTGTCTCACAAGTACGTAACTATGCACCTTAAGACGTTCGAAAGTTGTCTCACAAGTACGTAACTATGCACCTTAAGACGTTCGAAAGTTGTCTCACAAGTACGTAACTATGCAACTTAAGACGTTCGAAAATTGTCTCACAAGTACGTAACTATGCACCTTAAGACTTTCGAAAGTTGTCTCACAAGTACGTAACTATGCACCTTAAGACGTTCGAAAATTGTCTCACAAGTACGTAACTATGCACCTTAAGACGTTCGAAAATTGTCTCACAAGTACGTAACTATGCATCTTAAGACTTTCGAAAGTTGTCTCACAAGTACGTAACTATGCACCTTAAGACGTTCGAAAGTTGTCTCACAAGTACGTAACTATGCACCTTAAGACGTTCGAAAGTTGTCTCACAAGTACGTAACTATGCACCTTAAGACGTTCGAAAATTGTCTCACAAGTACGTAACTATGCATCTTAAGACTTTCGAAAGTTGTCTCACAAGTACGTAACTATGCATCTTAAGACGTTCGAAAGTTGTCTCACAAGTACGTAACTATGCAACTTAAGACGTTCGAAAGTTGTCTCACAAGTACGTAACTATGCACCTTAAGACTTTCGAAAGTTGTCTCACAAGTACGTAACTATGCACCTTAAGACGTTCGAAAATTGTCTCACAAGTACGTAACTATGCAACTTAAGACGTTCGAAAGTTGTCTCACAAGTACGTAACTATGCACCTTAAGACGTTCGAAAGTTGTCTCACAAGTACGTAACTATGCACCTTAAGACGTTCGAAAGTTGTCTCACAAGTACGTAACTATGCAACTTAAGACGTTCGAAAATTGTCTCACAAGTACGTAACTATGCACCTTAAGACGTTCGAAAGTTGTCTCACAAGTACGTAACTATGCATCTTAAGACTTTCGAAAGTTGTCTCACAAGTACGTAACTATGCACCTTAAGACGTTCGAAAATTGTCTCACAAGTACGTAACTATGCAACTTAAGACGTTCGAAAGTTGTCTCACAAGTACGTAACTATACATCTTAAGACTTTCGAAAGTTGTCTCACAAGTACGTAACTATGCAACTTAAGACGTTCGAAAGTTGTCTCACAAGTACGTAACTATGCACCTTAAGACGTTCGAAAGTTGTCTCACAAGTACGTAACTATGCAACTTAAGACGTTCGAAAGTTGTCTCACAAGTACGTAACTATGCAACTTAAGACGTTCGAAAGTTGTCTCACAAGTACGTAACTATGCATCTTAAGACGTTCGAAAGTTGTCTCACAAGTACGTAACTATGCAACTTAAGACGTTCGAAAGTTGTCTCACAAGTACGTAACTATGCAACTTAAGACGTTCGAAAGTTGTCTCACAAGTACGTAACTATGCACCTTAAGACGTTCGAAAGTTGTCTCACAAGTACGTAACTATGCAACTTAAGACGTTCGAAAGTTGTCTCACAAGTACGTAACTATGCAACTTAAGACGTTCGAAAGTTGTCTCACAAGTACGTAACTATGCACCTTAAGACGTTCGAAAGTTGTCTCACAAGTACGTAACTATGCATCTTAAGACTTTCGAAAATTGTCTCACAAGTACGTAACTATGCATCTTAAGACTTTCGAAAGTTGTCTCACAAGTACGTAACTATGCAACTTAAGACGTTCGAAAGTTGTCTCACAAGTACGTAACTATGCACCTTAAGACGTTCGAAAGTTGTCTCACAAGTACGTAACTATGCATCTTAAGACTTTCGAAAGTTGTCTCACAAGTACGTAACTATGCAACTTAAGACGTTCGAAAGTTGTCTCACAAGTACGTAACTATGCAACTTAAGACGTTCGAAAGTTGTCTCACAAGTACGTAACTATGCACCTTAAGACGTTCGAAAGTTGTCTCACAAGTACGTAACTATGCATCTTAAGACTTTCGAAAGTTGTCTCACAAGTACGTAACTATGCAACTTAAGACGTTCGAAAGTTGTCTCACAAGTACGTAACTATGCAACTTAAGACGTTCGAAAGTTGTCTCACAAGTACGTAACTATGCAACTTAAGACGTTCGAAAGTTGTCTCACAAGTACGTAACTATGCACCTTAAGACGTTCGAAAGTTGTCTCACAAGTACGTAACTATGCAACTTAAGACTTTCGAAAGTTGTCTCACAAGTACGTAACTATGCACCTTAAGACGTTCGAAAGTTGTCTCACAAGTACGTAACTATGCACCTTAAGACGTTCGAAAGTTGTCTCACAAGTACGTAACTATGCAACTTAAGACGTTCGAAAGTTGTCTCACAAGTACGTAACTATGCACCTTAAGACGTTCGAAAGTTGTTTCACAAGTACGTAACTATGCAACTTAAGACGTTTGATTTTATTCAAACTGTTGTGCCTCTTTCGTGGAATGGATTGATTCAACTCAATACTTTGCACGACTCAAATCCTCGCAGTGTTTTCTTTTAATGCTTTCCTTGTTAGTATAACGATTGGACAGAATTCGAAACTCCTGTTCTTTATATATAGTTGATTCTATTTTGCTAATTCATTGGGCTGCTGATTGGTCATTGGGCCCAATTAAGAACCCTTGGTCTACATGTATAATTGATTCTATTGTCTCTGATTCGATGTAATTTATGTGAAATGTTATAATGAACAGTTAGGTGTCGCAATGAATTTTCATATCGAGTAGGTTTGCCATTCGTGTAATCTTATCGGATCGAATCGTAATTCACAAAATGTTAAAAACTGGTGGATTTATAAGGAGGTGCACAGATGGGCTTACCCCTGTAGGCGAGGGTAAAAAGGGGTACAAAGAGGGGTGCATATTACAAAAAAGATATTAAAATCCATCCTACATTTAGTGATGAAATTAATTCCTTTATTGACTATATCATTATAGTTTATTAACTGTGAATGTAGTTATTTTGATTAAAAGGCATTAAAGGATAGGTTAATAAATAATTGCCTTCTAATCACCGAACTTTAGCTGCTCACTTAGCCCAGCAGCACCCTCCTAAAGAATCCTCGATGGATCCACCATTCTTTACATGTAAATCTTTATGTTGAAGTAAAAGGTCGTCTCGATGTAATTAGCCGAGTTTCAATTTTCATTTCAAGTATTGTCGTCCGTTGTTTAGAGCGGTCAGTTTCAGTTTCTTGACATCGACGGCTCCATGACAGCAAGATCCATGTACATTTATCATGTTAACACGCAAGGAGGACTCTTGACTGGATTTGATATATCACCCAACGGTCAAGCTTCCATATTCGGGGACTCTTCAGGTACACTTGAAAGTCCTATATTCACACTTTCATTCTCAGTTGTCGGCATGTACCGCTGTCGGCACGTACCGCTGTCGCCGTAATTTTGAACTGTTACCACTTAAATTGCTCCAGTCGGCGAAACGTTTTATTTTCGATATTAGTGTGATTTCTTTCTGATGTAATGGTGGGCAAATTTTAATTTCGTGAAATTGTGAAATTTTCATGGTGGTTGCTCAAATGCTCTTTTCAATGGACCTTGTCTCTTGTCAGAAAAGTCTGGAACGACTTACTTTTTTGAATCGTTAATACAAAATATTTATACCAACTACCTTGGATGATGTCAGTAGTCAGTATTTGGCTTAATCCTGACTTCATGCTACAACGAACAAGGTCCATTGAAAGGCAACTTTAAACTGCCATCCACAACCAGAGAACGATTTGACCAAATTGAAAAATTGTTTCGCCAACACGTAAGAAATCGCTCCTAGTTTTAATAACGCTAGTAAAAGTTCTTGCCAGCAGGGGTACTTTAAGGCCATTGTGTTTTGGGTGTAAACTACGTTTTCTGACTATTTCAGCCTTTATAACTGCCAGATGTTGCTGTTTAGTTTCCTTATGTATTCATAAATTTGTTGTCTGTAAACAGAAATCTTATGCCTACATTATGGTAGGCAAATACTTCGAACCTGACATTACTTCTTAACTTGACTCTGAACATAAATCCCGCTAAGGTTGTCGAAACATCAGTCAACATCAACAATAACAGTCCTTCTCAGTACTCTACTAACCTGGACGATCTACGTCCACAAACATTTAACGATTAATGATCCTCCAGAGATCAAACCATTTGTTTTAAATGAAGTGTCTGACGCAAATGTTCAGCAATTTTCTTCTCACAGGTGTTGTTCATCTCTGGGTTGACTGCGGGATGGAACACTTGGCCTTCAACATATATTCACGTCCGACAAGTTTTGCTGATGAGGTAGGTATATATTGTATCCAGTCCACATTGTTTGAAAACTATTTCTATAGTTAATGGGACTCATATTTCTTATTGTCTAAAATAAAAGATCTTGTAGTGAACTTTGTGTTCGAATGCTTATTTCTTGTGCTATTGAAGCTTTTGTATGATATAAATCGGAAAATTTGCGGTCAGTCGTTTTCTAATTTACTTATCTTAAAATCATGCGAATTTTCGTTGTTATGCAATGAACGTCTTTGTGTTTTACTTTAAAGTTTTGGTTGCTATGCAACAAACCGCCTTGTGTTTTATCTCAAAGTTTTGATTGTTATTGAAGTTAATGATATAAATCAAATTTGTTTAACGTCAGCGACAATAAATGAAAGTAAAGAATGTGTGTAAAACATGAAACGATCAAGAACAAATTATCTGACAAACATACCACAAAAGCTTCAAGAAATGCAAACTTAAATGTTGAGTATATTAAGTTCGAGGTTCTTTACATAAGACAATCTAAAACTTATGCGCCATAGCAACTTTAACGACAAAATCTTTTCTCATCTTATGGAAAGCGTCAAATAAGAATTTGTTCACGTGCGGTTTTCGTTTCCAGTTTCCTTGCTTTGACAAATTGTGCTTTTAGACCGTCTGTCGACGATTCTGTCTCTTGAAAGGGATGTCGAGAAAAATGTTTTGTTGTTTGTAAAAGTATTGAATAAGTTATGCCTGAAAACAAAACTTTTCTTTGAAAACGTACTTGGTACTAAGACCACGTTCAGTTACATTTCAATTTCTCTATTTTCAGATAAAACAAAAACTTTTCTTGGAAAACTTACTTGGCATTATTACTACGTTTATCACTTACATATCAGTTACTCTATTTTCAGATACCTCATTCTCATCCATTTGACATCGATGACTACACCATTCCATATTCATCTTTTCCTTTGCCACACTGCAGGTGATGTTTTTGATGTGTGACAAAAGCTTATAATCACGTCCATCGTTTTTACCCATCTCACGATATAGTGTCCTTGAATGTCCTCGAATGTCCTCGAATGTCCTCGAATGTCCTTGAATGTCCTCGAATGTCCTTGAATGTCCTCGAATGTCCTTGAATGTCCTCGAATGTCCTTGAATGTCCTCGAATGTCCTTGAATGTCCTCGAATGTCCTTGAATGTCCTCGAATGTCCTTGAATGTCCTTAATTCCGAATTGAAGACATTGAAAGTCCTTGAATTTATAAGATGGGCTTGAAAGTCCTTGAGTTCTAATTTTTCGATCAAATTGTTTAAAACATGTCAGTTAGCGCTTCTCTCTTTCCTTTTCTGATGTTGAGGTGAAATTGTAATCTTGATGTCGAAAAGTTGAATTAATATGGCAGCTTTACTTCAACGGACGACTCAGTGTTTTTCTGGATTGTAGATTCATTAGAAGAAGTAGTTTTGTATTTTTTTTTTTTGCAAAAGTCTTTGAATTTCATTGCCCCCTATATTGTACCTTGAGAAAATTGAGGTAATTGATTGTCGTTTGCCATATTTGGAATTGTTCGTGGCATGTGTGAACTTTTTATTTTGATTTTCAAAGATTTGGGGATGATTTTTATTTTTTAAATGACGTATAATCGACAGTGGTGTGCACTGCTAAATTTTCTTAACTCCCCAAATTCATGCTGTTATCCTTGCAGTGAAGCTTTTTATCCTTGCAGTGAACCTTTGTTATCCTTGCAGTGAACCTTTGTTATCCTTGCAGTGAACCTTTGTTATCTGATTGGCCAAAGAATTTACTAAAACGAAGGGACAGGTGAGGATTGGCGAGGATGTTCTTAGTGTAAATACGAAGAAACAAAATGGGTAAAACCTCGTAAAAATGAGAACGTTTTAAGTTTGAGATGACGATCATAACAAATGCACAATGCAAACTTTTTCTTCGTTGCATTTGTAACGTCGACAAACATTTAAATTCACGTGTTTTAATGTACGTAGTCACGTGTTTCATTTGTGATGTCACGTGTTTCATGTACGTAGTCTCGTGTTTTATCCACATTCTTACGTTTTTTATATACGTATTCACCTATTCAAGTACGCAGTCAAGTGCTTCCTACAAATAGTCACGTGTTTCGTACATATAGTCACGTGTTTTATGTACGTACACATTTCATATAATTATTCTTAAGTAGATTTTTCATGTTTTCAGGCGAACTCCCCCAATAGATCCTGAAATATTGCGGACAATGGTTGTGAAGGGCTTTATTGGGCAAGCTCCCAATCCTGGAAACCGTCTTCGTAATCAGGTAGGCCGTGAACTTTCCAAGAAAAGCATGTTGGCAACGAAGCCGTTTTTGCTTCTGACTATCAAAGTGGTGCTGTCCAAGCCGTGCATTTTTGTTTTACTTTTCCTCGTTGTCAAACAGCCTTTCAGTTCTTTTTTTCTTATGTGTGACTGAAGGTTCCCTACAAATGGCGGGCGAGTTCAAAGTCAAAACGCGAAGTACCCGAGTCGCCTATGAACAGAGGTAAAAATAATGAAAATCCAACGTGTCGAAAGCTCGATTCTGCCGGATCTAGCAAAACTCTTTCTCCGGTTTCTTTCATTTGTAAAAATCGTGTACTCCAGAGATGTTAATGACAATTTATTTTGTACTTGCACTTTTAGTTATTGATAATTTATTTTTTAGAACAAAATCCTTTCTCTACTTTGGTGCCAAAAATTTACCGTCGTGTGGAAATGCGATACTCCAAGCTAGGTACAAATGACATGAATTTGTTTTTGAGACTTTTGCAGTGGCGTAGTCAGCTCAGTGATTGGAGGGGGGGGGGGAATTTTCACATATTGATTTTTCGCCCCATTAAGTTCTTCTGAAATCAATTGTTTTCTATCGATTATAACATGCGTATATTCTCTCAATCATCGGTGCTAGCTATGCCACTAGCAATTTCTTGTTAATGGAATGTTTTAATTTTCTCTGTAGGTATCGATGATTTTAATTTTCAACATTACAACAAAACGTCGTTCGCTGGTCTGGAGATTCATATTCCAAACGCTTATTGTAACGCCATGTTACAGGTTTGTTGAAGTACACATATGTATACCATTGTACCATGTGCATACCATGCACATAAATATGTGTGTGCCGTTGATCAAAATATATAACTGGAAGGCTACCTTAAGATAAACATGTCTTTTCTTGCATGAAGTCACAAATTTTACCTTATTGTCGTAATTGAACTTTTGGGTCGTGCGTTAAAAGATTGCGACTAGTTCAATTGTTGGCTTCAATTTTGGCGGGAAGTAGCGTTCCAGTTATGTTTAGTTCAATGGCAGGGGCTCATCTCAAAACTAAATTATACATCCAGTGCCATTTTTTATGCGCTTTTTCGTACTCATCATAATGACGTATGTACGATGAAGTGTATTACATTACATTACTTGACGTTATTGTAAAGTGAAGCTTCACCATTTGTTGTGTTCTGGAAGACTCAGCTTTGACACAACAGTCTTTAGGATGACTTTATAACTATTGCATGAAAGCTTACGTTGTTCTGCATTTTAGGCCTTTTGTAGACTTCATAACTATTGCATAACTGCTTATGTTGTTCTTTGTTTTAATCCTTGAGGCTTTAGGACGAACTCATAACTATCGCACGAAAGCTTATGTTGTTCCGTGTTTTAGACCATTTCGCTTTAATAAGTAGACCTCAGATAGGGTCGCTTTATTTGCCAGCTACACAAAAATGTCTGCTATGAACAGGAAAACGTTTGTTTTTAGATCTTCTACTTTCTGGAACCACTGAAAGTTTTCCTACAAAACCATGTTTGTAAAAAAGAGTTTTGTTTGGCTTGTGAGTTGGGATTTCTCTTTGATATGCTGGATCAGTCATCGGGAGAGGTGTGCCAGGTAAGTTTAGCCTCCTTTTGAAGCGTTTAATAACCGGAAGTAGGTTTTACCCATTGAACTAAATATGTAACTGGAATGCTAGTAGGTGACAACTCCTGTACTTGCACGAAGCCAAATTTTACCTATAGACTGGCGTGTTGTGAGGTTAGGTGCCATGTTTAAGCTTACTGTTGTGATATTATACTTCGGCCGTGCGTGGAAGGATCGGCAATACTTGAAGTGTTGGATTCATATCTTAGCAAAAATTAGCCATTCAATCACTCTTACAAAAATCCATATGAGATATTTTGTTCACCAATCCTAATACGAGTAGTAATTCGCGAAGCATCTTGATCTTGTTTTTCTAAAACCAAAGCAGTCATCAAGTAATAAGTAAAATCCTTTCACTCCTCCTCCTTGCAAATGAGACAAGTCTTTTCAAAAGCGAAGAGCCTTATGCTACAAAACCTGGTCTTGTGACCGGTCTAGCGGAGTTAAGGATGCCTAGTCCAATGGTTTTATTTCATTTTATCACTCAAGCGATTTTTTTCTCTCGTAAGCTCTAAAATAGTGAATGACTTATTGCAAATCATAAATTTGGCTTGTTTTAGGCAAGTAACTTCTTGAGCCTTCCGAACGCTACGTGAAGCGTCCGCATTGGGTTTGCTTTTACCCGATACTGACGAATACCAAGTAAAAGTGAACTACTCTCATCTTATTCAAAGTTGGCAAAGATTCGTCTTGCAACAACTTCTTCGGGTATGTAATGTTTGTTAATGTCGTTTGGTTGAATGAGTCAACTTGAATGCTATAATTTTTTTGTGCCTGTAGTTACTTTGTTCTACAGTCTCTCTGGACTCAAATGACGGCTGCGGCCAACGGTCGGACAATTAGCGTTCGAAAATGCGTATTTTCACCTTCCGGGTCATTTTGAAAGGTCATATTTCGTCACGTTTCCAGGTCTTCCACGGTAGTTATAAGTCGGTTTTCTTTTCAATGTTCTTTTGGAATGTTGAACGTCCATTTTTGTACAGAAAAACTGTCTTTGCTCTGGGTAAGCTTGGAAGGAAGGTTCAATTCTGTTTTCATAAAGTGTTCTGACTCGATTGTCTTGCTCATCCATCAACACTTTGATTTTTATTTGTGTGTTTGTCAATTCTGTCATATGAGGATTCCCCCAAAAACTAAAATAAGACGATGTGTGGTGATGTCATAAGCGCTTTGAACGTCAGAATCAGTAGTTTCAAAAAAATGTAGATTTTCGCGTTAATGGTGCATTAGTGACCGATCAAAAACCGACTTTGTCCGAGCCATCTTGACCGAACACATTTCGAGCCTGAGCCCGCAAATTATTGTTTAATAAGTAACCCAACTCAACGACCTAGAACCCAATCTACTAGATATCTGACTCCGCCAATATTTCATAGTAATGAGTAAAGCTAGCCGCCATCTTGAAAGGTGGCAAAACTGACGGTATTTACGAGTAATATCTGCTTTTCCTGATAAATATAGAGTCACAAAGTTGACAGTCTAGATTTAATTCTTGAAACATTTGATAAGATGGGTTTTTTAAACTTTTTTAGCTTTCTTTTCACTTTGAGTTTTGCTCTTGCCACCTTTCAAGATGGCGTCCTTGACTCACCTTGATACGGTAGTTAGACATCTAGAGGACTGGGTTCTAAATCATTGAATCCAACTAGTTTGGAAGCACAAGGATCATTGCTCTCTTTTCTTTATTTCAGCGAAGAAATTTTGATCCATTTTCTTAATCAAGAGTTATCACTATCGGAAGAATTGTGAAAATAATTTCACATAATTTAGATAATTTTAAACAATTTTTCCTTAGGAGGAACTCGAAGAAAGCAAAGAAAAGGGGGAAACCGAAAAGTAATCAGCGTAATTTATATTAATTATTCATTATAATTAACATAATTAACTAGTGTAATAAATTAGTGTCATTACTTTCATTTACAGTTAAATATCCTTGCATGTTAATTGCTCTGTACTTTCTATTTGCGTGCGATTTTTTTCCAACGAAAATAGACGTTTAGCCTCTTTAATCATTATTCTTTTTATGGTCCTAGGATATCTGTAATAGAATCTTTGTTTGGATGTCAAGTGCAAAGGACAAGTCAATGCAGTCAGTGTGGAAGGCAAACGGCTAGGGATGACGTCACTCTGTCAACAGCTCTTTTGTATCCTGATAACAGAGATAATCGTATGTTAGATGGGAATTAATCCAATCTATGAAGCGACAGCTTGCCGACATAAAATCCCGTAAAATCTTAGTCGGCGGTTTTGTTTTCTTTACGAACGATGGTGGTTCGTCTCATTAATCATCAATGAAATCAATCGATAATGAATAAGTTTCAGTCATGTGGGCAGTTGATTGTTTTCACACTGTGATAATTTGAATGAATTGAAGCAAGCCTAAACCAGCAAGAGTTAGTCTTAATCATGGTCCACACAATATTTTTAGTTTCAGTTTACATCCCGTTGGGGTCAATGTGCGGACTGCTTAATCACCTCTTAGATTATCGTAATCGCCGATAAGATATCTTGGATTTACTTTGAGATTTCTGTTCACACTGTAAAATGGATACATTATGTTTAGGTGATGTTAGTTTTGTCAATGTTCTAAAGTCAAGTCTCCTGGGTATTCAATCTAGTCCTGCTTGGTGTGAAAGTTGCGAGAAATATCAACTGACGGTAAATTATTTACATTTTATAATTAGTCACTTCCTAATCTGGATTTTCCCCATTGCATGAATCAGACGATAACAATGAACATAAGCCATTCGGTCTTTAGATTTGTCATTTCTATAGCGTTTTGTATTTATTGTATTTTGAACCGGTCGTAGAACCTGATCGTATGTATCGGTAAATGACTTATCATTACTGAAAATTTCATGTTTGTGTTCATGTCTAAGGATGTGTATTTTGTGTCAAAATTGTTATCAAGATGGCGTGTTATAAAGCATGAATTTATGGAGTTCCATGTTGATTTTCCTCATGTGTTTGCAATTTCGTAATTAAACGCTCACTTGTATTCCGAACTCCAACGACAATCTACCATTACGTACACGCTGTTTCTCCCATGTATCCTTATATATCCCTGATGCACCCCTTCTATGTAACATCTCCAGATACATAGCAAGAAGCTACGTCGGCTACCCGACGTGTTAATGATTAACTGCCAAGTCGATATGGAGAAGCACAAGAAATTTTGGAACCGTAGTCATACAGATGTACAAAGCGAAAAGGTATAGTTGTGTACCTGCAGGTATCAAGTTGTATACATATATATCAAAATGTGTTACTTTAGGTTTCAAATTATGTACTTACGTATCAAGTTGTGTACATATGTATCAAAATGTGTTTCTGTAGGTGTCAAATTATGTACTTACGTATCAATTTGTGTACATTTGTATCAAAATGTGTTACTGTAGGTGTCAAATTATGTACTTACGTATCAAGTTGTGTACATATGTATCAAAATATGTTACTGTAGGTGTCAAATTATGTACTTACGTATCAAGTTGTGTACATATATATTAAAATGTGTTACTTTAGGCTTCAAATTATGTACTTACGTATCAAGTTGTGTACATATGTATTAAAATGTGTTACTTTAGGCTTCAAATTATGTACTTACGTATTAAGTTGTGTACATATGTATTAAAATGTGTTACTTTAGGCTTCAAATTATGTACTTAAGTATCAAGTTGTGTACATATGTATTAAAATGTGTTACTGTAGGTGTCAAGTTATGTACTTACGTATCAAGTTGTGTACATATGTATTAAAATGTGTTACTGTAGGTGTCAAATTATGTACTTAAGTATCAAGTTGCACTTTAATTTATTTGTTGAAAATACGCAATAGCAGACGCTTTGATCATATGTAAATATTTTTGTGTTCATGCATTCACTGTAAAAAACAATTGATTTCTGAAGACTTACATTGATCTGACATTTACAAAGCAAAACCAAACTTTTGGGCTCGCTTCGATACTATGTAGCAGTGTAGACATTTATAAAAAAAAGAGGGTTGTTTTTTGATGTGAATTATTTTGCACGTATTTTTTAGAACGTGAGTCAGAAGGGTGCTCTCGGGCAGAGCAATCGATCAACTATTCCGTGTCGTTTCGGGGAAAGTTGCTCTAGGACGGATTGTGGATTTTGGCATCCAAAACATGGCGAGTTTGCGCCTTCTGAACCAGAGTGAGTAACGTTGTATCATCGATTGTCTGTATAGATTGGAAAGATTTTGTTTGTCTTGAGCAATATTGCTGTCGACGTTTGAAGTTTGCAATCGATTTCAACATGCTTTTAAACAACACCGTGGCTATAGAATCTTCTAAAATATCATGAAATGTTGAGCTATCGTGAACGCTTGTGTAGATCAGTTGTAAGTGTGAGCTATCGTGAACGCTTGTGTAGATCAGTTGTAAGTGTACTAGTCAAAGAAACTAAATGCATTTTGCGGGTTCGCATCTTTTGAGCAGATATAGCAGTTTTGTATGACATTTTTACTGCAAAGAAATCAAGCAACATGTTTCTACTGTACTTAGAACTTTTGCCTTGTGTAACATACAAGTTTTTTTCGTCAAATAATTTTACTGTTTTTTGTTTCACAGATCAACCATTTTGGCATCAAAAGAAGACTGCGTTCTTACGTGGGTGCCATTTTGCCTAATGCTTAAGCTCGCCGAGGATGGAACATTATCTTGTTATGAAGCGGTAATTTGACGATTTTTTTATGAAAATTTTGTGCGCATCCGCTCCAACGTTACGGTAAGAATTTTCTTGCTGATTGTTCAACAATTTTATTCCATAATTATTGTTTAAAATTTGTATTTTATTTATATATTTTGACATTGAATAGGCTTGTGGAGATAATCATGTTTCCCATTATGCCATGTGCATATGTGTGTGTCTTCGGCTTATTGATCTGTTTTTGTTCAATGCTTTAACATACTATTCGTTGGAGCTGAGTTCATTTGAAAAGAGCTCGATATGAAGTAACTTCTGTACGTTTCTAAACACAACTTTTTTTGAAGGAGTTGGACGATGTGGATCTCGAAGATGACTGTACTGTTTATGACCTAAAATCGACTGTTGCTCATGTTAAAGACTACAATTCACCTGGCAATCTTGTCGCCATGATCAATGTTGAAAAATCATATCATAAAACAGATTCGGTATGCAACGACAATAACAGCAACAATAGTAGCCACAAAAACCATAACAACAAGAACCACAATAACAACAACAAAAACAAAAAACAACATCAGCAACAACAACAACAGCAACATCAAAACAACATTAGCAACAGCTAAAACATTTTAAACTACTACTACCACGAGATTAACAACAATAGCTACAAGAACTACAAGAAAGGCAACAGCAAGAACCACAACATCAACAATAACAAAATCACAAACAGCAGCGACAATCATAACAAACAGCAACATAAAAACAACTGGAACAACAACAAAATGCGAGCAACAATAACAAAATTAAAATAGCTGTAGTATTTTATTCAATGTACACTTGGAAATTATATTATGAGAAATGTTTTGATTTGATTGAAACTTACGTTTTTGTATTTTAGCAAGAAGAGGAGGGCGGTTGGTATCTTTTTAACGATTTTGCCGTCAGTAATATTTGCAAGGTAACACACACCCTTCATGTGAGCGCAAAAATTGTTTTCCTAGAAATTTCTTACAACAAGATGCAAATATGACTTAATATTTTTCTCTTAGGATGAGGCAGTGGAATTCGATCTTTCATGGAAAATGCCTTGTGTCTTGCAGTTTGTTCGTCGAAATATGAAAACTGACTATGATTTAACTGGTACGTGAAACTTACTTCACTTTTGAAACTTACTTCACTTTTGAAACTTACTTCACTTTTGAAACTTACTTCACTTTTGAAACTTACTTCACTTTTGAAACTTACTTCACTTTTGAAACTTACTTCACTTTTGAAACTTACTTCACTTTGAAACTTACACTTTTGAAACTTACTTCACTTTTGAAACTTACTTCACTTTTGAAACTTACTTCACTTTTGAAACTTACTTCACTTTTGTTATTGTTGTTGTAGTTTTCAACCCATTTGGATTTCTTAATGCTTTTTGTGCACGGAAATCGTAATTTCTAGTGATTTGAATTTTAGGTTGATTGTATTTCACCTTATAAAATAACAGCAATAGGACGCATGTGTTGATCGGTCCATAACTGAGTTTGCATTTGACTGTGCAAACCGATTTGAGCTAAATCAAATCAAACAATGAGGATTTGTAAAATCAATCACGAATACAAGTTAACGGAAAAATTATAACGTTTGTTTGAAATGTATCACTTTCGCATTGTTGTTATTTTATAAAAGAAATAAAAGATGTTTTTCTTGTGAGAACTCTCCAGCAGGTGCAAACCTTCAACTATGAGTACAATAAACATTTTTTTATTCCTGATTATAAAATAAACACAATAAAACGCGTGCGCTGATTGGTCTAGAGCTGTGTTTGCATTAGCCTGTGCGAAACACATCCGAGCTCAACCAATCAAATTAATTGATTGATTGATTGATTAAACTTTATTAAAAAGAGGGTAACACGTGACACAACAAGTGTGAAAAACTTGTGGCCCTCAAAATGAAAACAATCAATCAGCCAAAGAGAATTTGCAAATCGATCATGAAAATATTTTAGAGGAAAAATTAAAATGTCTGTCTTTTTCGCATTATTGTTATTTTATAAAAGAAATAAAAGATGTTTTTCGTGTTTGCACGGGCTTATGCGAACCTCGGAGACGTTTGTGAGAACTCTCGAGCATGTGCAACCCTCGACCTTCGGTCTCGGGCTTGCACTGATCTGCTCTCGAGTTCTCCCAAAGATCTCGGTTTGCATAAGCCTGTGCAAACACAGTAAACATCTTTTATTCCTAAATGAAGGTTGGCAAGTTTCTTTTTCTTTGCTTTTTGCCCAAAAATTGTTCATGACGGGCTCCATAATTGTTATTTGGTAACTAACAGCGTATCACTGTGTTTTCTTGAATCGGAAAAAATTATATTTCTATGCATTTAACAAAATGCATCTGTCAAATACAACGTGTCTGCGCATGTCTCAACGTGGCCTGCTATTTTAGGAAGTCGAACTATTGATGACCATGTTATTTTGGGTGATCGTTCTTTGTCCCTGTTGCACGACATTCATGGTCAGAAGAACTTCACGCCTCTAAGTTTGGACGAAGCAAAAAAGGAAGGTTTTCTCGTTGGCATTGATTGCGAATTTGTCACTTTAAATCAGGTATAGAAATCATTTAGTATGGCTTTCAATGTTTAAACGATTATCAAGGTTAGTGTAAGACCTTCAAGGTTAGTGTAAGACCTTCAAGGTTAGTTTAAGACCTTCAAGGTTAGCAAGACCTTCAAGGTTAGTAAGGTTTAATTAAAGGTTAGTAAGACCTTCAAGGTTAGCAAGACCTTCAAGGCTAGTAAGGTTTAATTAAAGGTTAGTAAGACCTTCAAGGTTAGTAAGGTTTAATTAAAGGTTAGTGAGACCTTCAAGGTTAGTAAGACCTTCAAGGTTAGCAAGACCTTCAAGGTTCGTAAGGTTTAACTCAAGGTTAGTAAGACCTTCAAGGTTAGCAAGACCTTCAAGGTTAGTAAGGTTTAATTAAAGGTTAGTAAGACCTTCAAAGTTAGCAAGATCTTCAAGGTTAGTAAGATTTAGTTCAAGGTTAGTAAGACCTTCAAGGCTAGCAAGACCTTCAAGGATAGTAAGGTTTAATTCAAGGTTAGCAAGACCTTCAAGGTTAGTAAGGTTTAATTAAAGGTTAGTAAGACCTTCAAGGTTAGCAAGATCTTCAAGGTTAGTAAGATTTAGTTCAAGGTTAGTAAGACCTTCAAGGCTAGCAAGACCTTCAAGGTTAGTAAGACCTTCAAGGTTAGCAAGACCTTCAAGGATAGTAAGGTTTAATTCAAGGTTAGCAAGACCTTCAAGGTTAGCAAGACCTTCTAGGTTAGTACGACCTTCAAATAACTATTGACCTTTAAGTGCCCCATCCAGGCAAAACATTTTTATTGCGATATTGAATTTTGGTGTGATCTCCAACGTATCAGCGAAAAAAGTTTTTAAGTTTGTCAAATCGTTCCATTTTTATGGCTCTTTAAAATTGGCAAAAATGCTCTTTTTGATGGACCTTGTCCGTCGTTCGAAAAGTCCGAATTTTGGCTCGACCCAGGCTTCACGCCGCGACGAGCAAGGCTCATTGAAAAGCAAATTTTAGCCGCAATAACAGGAAGACGATTTTACCGAATTGTAAAATTTTTTCACCGATGTGTTAAACATTAAATCTAGTTTTGATATCGCAAATGAAATTCATATGTTTCACGTGGTTTGAAAACAGTTGATTTCCGTTCATTATAGGAAGAATCCGAGATTCGAAGTGATGGGACACGTTCGACGGTGAAGCCAAGTCACATGAGCGTTGCACGTGTGACGTGTGTGAGAGGGTAGGTTTCAGGCATGGGAATATGCTGACATTTCCAACATCTGTATTAAACATAACAAAAATTGAAGGGTAAAGTTTCATTCAAATTTATTTTGTTTGTCGCTGAATATGTTATAGTCTTGGCTAGCCCGCATTGCAGACTACGTATAACATATATAGTTATGGCGAGTATCTATAAATTCATTCGTGTTTACATGCTTGTAGATGCAGATCGTCCAGGTCAGCGTAGTCCTGAGAAGGACTGCTTGTGTTGATGTTGGATGACATTTCAAAAACATTTTACGCTTGATTCTGAACGTGACTACCGCTAATATTGTCGAAACGTCAGTCAACATCAACACCAACAGTCTTTCTCAGACGAATTACATAAAGAAACATGTAACGATAATATCTGGTTCGAATTATTCAATATACTTATGGGATTTTTTGGTCGAATGATTTTCATACAAGCGAGTCTGCGGTGACGTTAGTTGCGTGTGAGGTCATACAGATGCGAGATTTTAGACTGTTCTATTTAAAAAAATGTGTGCAAAAAAGTTGATGTGTCGAATTTCACTTTTTCAGTGATGGACCATTGATTGGGGTACCATTCATTGATGACTATATATCAACCTCTGAACAGGTAACGTCAAGCATGATATATAATTAAAGTTTCTCGGCCAAGGGGACTCGGTCCAACGAGTGCATCGCGTTTAGCGCGAAATTTCAGTTAAGATGTTTTTTTTTCGTTGTCTACTTTGGCAGTTATTTTGTGAGTATTTGTTTGAAAATCTTTATGCTTTCTTGGCGGCGGTCGCCTCTGTATTGGGTTGTATTCTTTTCTTCAGGGAGATAGGGGATATTACTGCAATTTTAGTAGTATCTTGATGATAGGAAATATTAACTTCTTATGGAAGGGATGTTGTTTTCTTAATGTCGGTAGTATCTCAATGATAGGAAATATTATCTTTTTTGGTAGAGAGAGGGTTGTTTTCTTGTATTTTAATGTCAAGAGAACGCCATTATTTTCATATCTCAGAATGCCTTAACGCTACAGAAGTATTTGCTGACGTTTTTTTAACAAAAGCAGCCATATAAGCCAGATTTGTAAATTGTACAGAATAGTCATTATAGGATATCCGTGTCGAGAATACAATGTTTGTCTTTCAACCTTACTCCTGATGTTAACCAATCCGCTTTCTTTATAGAAGACTTGATGGCGGTTGATTTAACCAATTCGCTTTCTTTATAGAAGACTTGATGGCGGTTGATTTAACCAATCCGCTTTCTTTATAGAAGACTTGATGGCGGTTGATTTAACCAATCCGCTTTCTTTATAGAAGACTTGATGGCGGTTAATTTAACCAATCCGCTTTCTTTATAGAAGACTTGATGGCGGTTGATTTAACCAATCCGCTTTCTTTATAGAAGACTTGATGGCGGTTAATTTAACCAATCCGCTTTCTTTATAGAAGACTTGATGGCGGTTAATTTAACCAATCCGCTTTCTTTATAGAAGACTTGATGGCGGTTAATTTAACCAATCCGCTTTCTTTATAGAAGACTTGATGGCGGTTAATTTAACCAATCCGCTTTCTTTATAGAAGACCTGATGGCGGTTGATTTAACCAATCCGCTTTCTTTATAGAAGACCTGATGGCGGTTGATTTAATTTTGATTGTTTTCGTTTAGGTCGTCGATTACCTTACAGAATTTTCTGGTATTAATCCTGGAGATTTGGACGCTACACGATCATCGAAACATCTCACCACCCTCAAGTCAACATATGTGAAACTCAAATATTTACTGGAGCAGAAAGTGTTGTTTGTAGGGCATGGACTGCAGAAGGACTTTCGCGTGTTAAACATAAAGGTATGTTATGAATTTGATGCTAAATGTTGTAGTAAAATAGAGTATGTTACAGCATGTTAAACGTCGGGGTTTCTTAGGATTTAACTGTTAAATGTTTTTCTATGATAGAGTATGTTATAGTATGTTAAATGTAAGAGTTTCTTAGGATTTAACTGTTAAATGTTTTTTTATGGTAGAGTATGTTATAGTATGTTAAATGTAAGGGTTTCTTAGGATTTAACTGTTAAATGTTTTTCTATGGTAGAGTATGTTATAGTATGTTAAATGTAAGGGTTTCTTAGGATTTAACTGTTAAATGTTTTTCTATGATAGAGTATGTTATAGTATGTTAAATGTAAGAGTTTCTTAGGATTTAACTGTTAAATGTTTTTCTATGATAGAGTATGTTATAGTATGTTAAATGTTAGGGTATATGATGGATTTTAATGTTAAATATGGTAGTAAGGTAGAGTATGCTGTGGTATGTTGCGCGTTAAGGTATGTTATTGATTTTAATGGTGAATGTTATGGTATGACATGGTATGTAAAAATATATTAGACGCTATGGTATGTTAGGATTTAACTGTCAAATGCTATAGTTTAGGTGCTGTGCAACCATTCTCATGGGAGCGAGAGGGCAATGGAATTTTTGCCATGTTGGATGAGATTTGCATTGTAAATAAGGAAAATCCTTTGTTAAAATCATTCAACATGGCGGCAAATCATTTATGTTGCTAATCATCGTCCTGCTGCTTGTGATGACAAAAGCATCAAGCATGCGAGTTCTTTCGTAGGTTCCCAAGGTACAAATTGTGGACACTGTGCAACTGTTTCATCTACCGCAACAGAGATTTATATCTTTACGTTTCCTAGCTTGGTACTTTTTAGGTAAGGGTCAAAAGCATGCTTCATGCACTCTTACGTTCTGATTAATTTGTGTTGGTGTTAAATTCTAATACATAAGGTTTGCAAAACGAACTTTCGAAGATTTTTGTCTGCTATTTATGCGTTTGTATCTTTTTAAAACTCCATTATCTTTCTAGGTATAACTATTCAGTCGAGCTCGCATGATAGTACTGAAGACGCATGTACGGCTCTTAGACTCTACCAGCGCTTCAAAGAACTCATGCAAAAAGGGGACACCGAGTTTCATGGCACATTGAACCGACTGTATGAGACGGGGAGAAGCTTGAGCTGGCAAGTTGAAGATTGAGGTATAGAATTAAGATTGAATTAGCGGATTAGGATGATGCAAGTTGAGGTATAGGATTAGTCATTCCGATGATTTTAGTCGCTGGTTGATAACGTAGACAGTAAATTCAACTCATTCGTGTGTTACCAATCGTCAAACGTACTTAATTAAAGTTGGCGAATAAAGTTATTTACCATCCAGTTACACTGGCGGTCCTAAACAACTGCTCAAAATTATCATTACGACTAAGGAAAGGAGTGTGTTAAGTCTATGCATGGAAACGATCGACTGAACGAAATACATACGAGTTTTGTATTGTGTAGTATTTGGTAGGCTTTACTCTGACCATGTAAGTTCTCTGTATTGGGGTTTTTATTTTGTCTGGTTAGAATTTCTCCCAAGTAGTGTGGACACTGTCCCATCGTTCATTCTCTAGATTTTTGTTCTAAAGCCTTGTTTCAACATGCCACTGACATTTCTAACCCACTTCACTAGTTATTTTGCTTTCTAACCCACTTCACTAGTTATTTTTATTTCTAACCCACTTCACTAGTTATTTTGCTTTTTTGTTCTAAAGCCTTGTTTCAACATGCCACTGACATTTCTAACCCACTTCACTAGTTATTTTGCCTTCTTTCAGAAATGTCAACACCGTCCAACGCGGCATTCGACATCGATTCTTGACTTTGGATACTTAATTCTGTAACTTGTCCACATTCTTGTTATCCACTGAATAACCCTTCCTTGAAGTAAATGATGTTGGATAAATTATCAATTCGTGTTTGCAGATGTAGATCGTCCATGTTAGTAGAGTTTTGACTGTCAACATCAACAACGAAAAACTAAATAAAAGCTAAAGGCCAATTTCCATTACGGTCGCTTTGCCACTGCGCGCAGAGCGCACACTTTTGATCATTCGTACGCGCGTTCAAAAGCAATCTCCATTAAACTTTTTTTGCACGCTCTGATATAAAAACTAGTCGAAGACCGCAGCTTTAAATTGAAGACTGTTGATAATGATATTATTGAGATTTATATACCGCAGGCTTGGGTTTCAAGAAACATGAGAAAGTATTATCCCCTGGAATCTTTTTGCCATTAGTTTCATATCATTAATTTCAGTTTGTCGAAAAATTCCAAATTTTATCATGTCACAACGTTTCTATTTTGTGTAAATTTTATGATGTACTATATAAAAAACATATTGATGAAAATTATACAACACACTCCTTTCCGATAAAATGGCCACAAAAGTTTTTATAGCAAAAATAAATTCTTTCGCCCTAGGTTTTACTTCTGAGTGTTGGAGATAACCCCAAACGAAGCACTAGATTTATTAAATGTTATACACAAAGAAACAGGAATTTTCATAAAACAGCACAGCTAACAAATTTGTTTTGACAAGAAGAAAATAATCACGTTTTGTGTGTTAATTTAGTATTGTGTGGTAACAGTGTATTTTCAAGTCATTGTATTTGGAAATTACCAAAACAGTCATTTCTTTAAAGTTGGCGGCGGACTGTCGCGCTAACTCCCGAAAAAAGTTTAGCTACCCTTCAAACAAAGCCGATGTGTGTTACGTATATGCGTCATGAGAGGTTTACAAAGGAAATTGGATCACTGAAGAACATGATCATGGTTGAAATGTTCCAAGTTCTATTAATCCTATAAAAATATGATTATTATTAAATTTTTAACCAAAAACATGGCTGGTAGCTGTTCTCATATATCAGTAAATGGTTTCTCTTCGCTGCCTGTTTAACAATGGGTTTATAAATATATTTGTTGTGATATAAATTTCAACTAGCTCTAGGATATGATGATTATTGAATGCGTTAGAAGTAATGAACAAACGAATAAATGAAACAAAGAAATACACATGGCTAATTCATTTGCGTTATCATGGTAATGTCCTTGAGCATTTAAGTTTACGTCTTCTTCGCCAAATAGCAACTCCTTAAACTGTATATAGATTATGAAAATATTTCCAAAATATTCCTTGCACATCGCAGTGAGAGTGTTGATATTATAATGAAAGTTTTACGATGGTATTGAATGATATTTTTGGCCAGTCGGGAATGCGCTAATTTATTCAGGCTTGAGGCCAAACTCGCATGCATGGATAGTTGCCCTAAATGTGGTTAAATCAAAGTGGTGTTAAAGAGATGCACATCATATGTGATTGTAGTGATACGATATATTTGTTGCTCTCCTCATTACTCACTTGTTTTATATTTTCTTCATTTTTCACAGTTTAAGTTGGTTTAATATAAGATACACAAAGTTTAATGTTTTTCCCAAGATGAACAAGAAACGACGGCATTTTTTGCATTCCATTACAAAATTGGCGGTGCACGCAACACACATGAAGCTGTTTCAATATTTTTCTTTTTTGTGTGAGAAATACTTCTTTTGTATATCTTAGATATTCTCTATGTATTGTTATAAGTTAGATACACGTTTTAGCTTCTAAATTATTGGCGAGAACGCAACGATAAAAGCAATAAAAATACCTCGACCACTTATCTCTTAGGAAACTATAAAATTTTAATAATATTCGTTTACGTAGCTACAAAACACTTGAACCATAGCATTATAACATAGAGAACTAAATTTCAATTCTACAGTTAGTCAATCTAACTGCTTCTTTGACAAAGAGTAAAATGGTCAAGTTTGTAAGTTGCTTTTACGCAACTATTTCTGTATTTGCTGCTGTTTCTATAACTTATGCCGACGTTAAATTCCGTTTTTCGACAATCTATGGTGATCATATGGTGTTGCAAAAAGCCCCAAAACGGGCTATCGTGTGGGGTTATGGTGAAATTGGTGAAAGAGTGGTGCTGAGGCTTAGTAAGAAATCGTATTATACACACGTCGCTGCAAGACAAGAAGGTTTTTATTGTTATTTCTTTCTATAAGGTTTACAGCTATGTAGCAAATGTAGGAATTAGGTGAAATTACATAAAACGACAATTTTAAGTTTAAAATACACCAAAAATTAATGTCATTGATCGAAAATTTATAACTAACAGAGACTTATCTATCGATGGAAACCATTCGCTTTTTAACAAATCTTCATTTTATACGACGTATATTACCCGTTGATATATTGTTTGAAATGAAATATGAACAAACACAACAGTGTGCTGCAATTTATGCTATTAAGCTTGAAAATTGGTAATCGAAGCATTTAATATATAAAAATGAAAATTTCTCCGGATTGTTGTGACATTATTTTATTAAGCCTTCGGCTCGGTGCCTCGAGCCTTCATCTGATGAATATCTATTTATATCGGAGCATCTGGCTTATATGCTTTTATAATTCTACATTTTCCAGTGAATATGTGATGGATCATGCTCTACCTAAAACTGTTTTTACCACCAATCAGTAATAATATGTGAACGTATCGCGTCAAGAAACGACGAAGTCTCGTTATGATACTGATGAACTTCGCAGAAGACAAAGAATTATAACAATATTAAGAATCCAATTCTTCAAAGCATTTAAAGTATTCGTTAATAACCTTAATTGCATTTATTTATTGGTAATCAAACAAAATTTAAATGAGGCATCACTTTTTTTTAAAATTGAGAAAGTTGAGAGGACTTAATTAACCAAACTGATTCATCGATTCACATTTTTTAAAATTTTTTGACATACTCCTGGAACTATATGCTTTTTAGAAAATGTTTTGTATTCGTACATTGTGCTTAACTGGTAACGTGCACTATACACTATGACTGTTACTATGGTAATCTTTACATAGGAAACAAAGAAGTTGGAGTATGGCAAGTTGTGTTACAACCAATGATGGCTGGAGGTCCATATCGTATTACTGCGTATTCACATGTGAAAAAGTCTAAAAAATATAACATTGGATGATGTTTTGTTTGGAGATATTTGGCTTTGCAGTGGTCAGAGCAATATGCAGTATACACTGGACGATGTGAGTTTTTCATTTCAATGTCTAGTTGACGTCATCTAACCTGAAACTAGCAATATTAGTGGAGACTGCAGTTTAGACTTTTGCTTTTACTTCAGTTTATTGAATTACAAGCGATGTGCAGGCCAGTAGTGTTATTTGTTGGGAAAATCACAAACTTGTAATGCGTTTGATTAAAACACATTGTAGAGTAAAAAAGGCAACAATGACAACGTTGGATTGATTGTTTCGAGATATATTTTTATAAGAATGCAGAGAAAATTTATAATGGATAGGGTAGGTTTCTTAGAATAGGAATTGGAGAACAGAGTAGTGACTCATATAAAACATTGGTGACAGTGGTTGGGTTTGAGGACAGGGTTGGCTTGTTGGATTTTTGGGTTTGGGCTAAGAAAAATAGTTGTGATGCAAATATATTCCCAGATGTCACGGGAGCTGCTACCCATGTTAGTTATATATCTACAAAGCATTATAAATTTTCAGGGTTTTTGTAAAGTATCATCAGATACGTTTTCCTTTTGTTTACGAGTATGAAAAGTTTTGATTTTGAATTAAATAATTAAGGCTGTAAAATTACGAAAGTTTTTTCTGTCTTGTTTTTCAAGCGTTATCATTTTTGTTGGCTTAATATTTTATATACCACTCGTAAAAATTACATTTTATCATCTCAAAGAATTGAATGGTTGGTTTGAGATTTTTAATAATTTTTATAAAATTCTCGATAATATTTTCTTCACCCACGTTTTCTAAAGCATTGTCAAAATACCAGCTCATTACAGGTTTTTATCTAGATTTTATAATTTTTTTCTTTATTTAGTCGGAACATGGAGATAAAGCAATCAATGAATCGATAAACTATCCCAACATACGTGTATTTACTTCTGGCCTTGATTGCTCTATGACTCCTCGGAGGGAGTTAAATAGCATTGTCTTGCCTTGGTCCGTTCCTTCACCAGGTATTCATTATGCATTTGTGAAATAGACAATTGAAATTTATGAAGAGATAATTGAAGTGAATGGAAGAGTCAGGTTGGTACTCTGAACTGGCTGCTCAATTTCAACGATGATTTTCAACGCTGTTATTGTATATAAAATAAAATTAGTTGTGGGAAGTAGCTTTTAAAAGAATGTTTTATGATCCAAATAGGACCACGGTATATGCCTTTTAAATATTTTGAAATTTAATATTATTTACATGCTAGATATTTAATAACAATTTTTGATGACTCACGAAGAACTCGATAAACAAATATTTTCAAAGAAATACTGTAAAAATACCTATTGCCTAATGTCCAATTTGTACTATAAGTTTTGCTGTACTTAAACATTTTCGTACCTAAAATACTTTTTGCAATCCCAAAGCAGCGTTTAGTATACGTGAGTTGTCAACACGATTGTTTCATATACTTTGTAAAGTTGGAATGACGTCATTTTAAGATAATAATTTATTGTTTGTGTTACCAGAAACTTTAAATGGGGCCTCCGATGGGATATTATGGAGTTATTTCTCTGCTGTATGTTGGTATTATGGAGTGCAGCTGTATAAGACGTTGAACTACCCAATTGGCTTAATTGGCACCAGTTTTAGTGGGAGCGCTGTAGAATCATGGTCTTCACCAGATGCCCTCACACAATGTGGATGGACTGGGAATGCTTTACCTTCTGCACCAATATTGTACGTCTAATGACATATTCATATGTTTTATCCTGCTCTAAATAGTAGCTTCATAAGAAGATAGAGATTTTGACCTCGTCAGTTAGTTCATTTAAAAATTCCAATACAGATTTTGCTTTACTGAGAAAACAACCATTTCTAAAACATGCATTTCTTTAGCTCTGATTCACCACGCACATCACACGATTTGTGTGGTTTGCGCTCTGATTCACCACGCACGTTTGTTGATCTGGTCTCTTAATCTTTGTACTTATGAACATTGTCAGAACAACTGCATTCGTGTGAAACTCAAGATATACAAAACGATGAGAAAAAAATATCGAATTATGTGGGGGGTTTTTTTATTTGTTTTGGCCTTATGCAGTATGTGAAAAAATCACTCGTGCATGTTTATACGTAATCACACTCAAAGCTCTACTTTTACTTATATGAATGAAATTTTTGTCATCACAACTTTGCGCAATGGTAAGGAGTGGTGCAAATTTATGTGTTGCTTAACTGTTATTAGAAGGCATTTTGGATGTTTCCAAAAGTTTTGGCTACCATTGTGTGTCTAACATTTTCTGGAGCTTTATTTACACTAAATAAATCAATACTTTCCAGATTTTATGATAACGATTGCTAAAATCGTAAAAGAAGAAAAGTACTTTTTCTCAAAACCGTTTGCGAGTCCACCTCACGAGTTTTTTCAATGTATTTGAAATATTGTTAAGTCATTAACTTTCAAAAATTAATTTTCTGAAGATACAGTGAACGAAAACAATGAAAATTTAGATAGAATAAAGGTCGGCCTAAAGTACCATTGGTGCGTTTTTTCTCATTACATTTCTTGTTCACATTTTCTGTCGCTATATTGAATCTAAGTTAGGCTTTGCAGCAATTTCAAAAAATTCGAACTTTGGCAAAATCTAAATCTAAGACAAGCATTTCTCAAGACATCAAAGTACTTAAAAGAAATAATATGAAAAAATAAAAGCAAGCCATGCTTTGTGCATTTCTAAATATTAAATCCTCATTAAAAAAGCGAAGAGAACAAAAAAAACCCAAATTTTCTTCGTGTATGTACAATTTCTTTTCTGTTAACATGGCATATTGGAAACGAAAACGTCTAAAAATTCGACACGTTTTTAAGACTTATTGAGATCTTCATTTTGTATTCAAATCCGTTGGAATGAATGCCACATGTCCTTAGATGTATGTTGCATTTGTTCTAACGGACTAGACTACAGAATAGAGATCACATTTATAATCGATTGATCATAAATTTTTTAATTGACTTATCCCAAAAGCTCTAATTATCCGCCATGATAGTCGTTTTTGGACACAGTAAACGAGTTTATCAAACTTAATTTGCTAATTAGTCATCAAAGTGATATAAATGCATGTCACATGATCAAGCATATTTTATTGAGACATTCACGTCTTCTACAATGACTAGAAGTTCAGATATGAACAAACGGCTTGGCGATAACAGTTTTAGCGCAGTTCATCTGCGGATACCACCTTTTTGTCTCCGTGAAGGACATATGCAAATTTCTCGATACGTAACAAAGCACTGTCCTATAATATGGCAGTGTTTTCTAGTTCAGCAACTTGTTCAATTAATGTTCTCCGTCTTTTCAACATGGCTTTTCAAACACAAACTTTCCGTTCTTAAAGTAGCTGGTGACATGATCATTTGCTAAAAATGCGTGGAGACAAATCCCTGTGTATTTTTGAATTGTAGCTTACCTTGTCCAATATTTGTGAAAATAAATACTATTTTAAAATTTTTGTGTTGATATGATGGAAAATTTCATTAAAGCGCAAAATCAATCAATATACATTTAGAGATAATGTTTGCTTGCGTGTTTTTTTAGTATTCCTGAATTTGGTAACGTGGACATCATTATCTTCAATAATTATAGTTGTATGTGGAATGCCATGATTGTGCCGTTTCTTAATATGACCATCTACGGTTCCATCTTTTATCAAGGAGAGACAAATGCTTTAGGTAGAAAGTTAGATCTTTTGCCATATGAATGTAGTTTTCCTGCCATGATAAATGATTGGAGAGCAAAGTGGCACATTTCTACACAACATAACACTGACCCACAGTTTCCTTTTGGCTTTGTACAGGTAGGTTTCTTGACATCTAAACTAATCATTGTGTACTTTTTCAACTATTAACTAATAATTGTTTTATACCTGTAAATGTATAGCTGTCAGCTATTAGTCAAAGTATAGGAATTGATCAATATTACTTTGCCGCGGTACGTTGGGAACAGACAGCAGAGAAGGGCTACGCTCCCAATGCACAACTAAAAAAAACTTTTATGGCTGTAACAATGGACTTGGGAAATCCTTTCTCTCCATACTTCAGCATCCATCCCACTGACAAAGAAAATGTTGGCTATCGCTTGGGACTATCGGGCCTTTCAATAGCTTATGGTAAAAAAAGGTACTACACTGGACCGCTCGTATCAAAAATCAAGAAGATTGCAGCCGGACATTATTCGCTTCTTGTAGTAAATTATAAATCTGTGAACATAAATATTGAAATACGGAACAACAAAGGCTTTGAAGTAAGTAGCTATTAAACATCATTAAAGTGCTTACGCCATGAATTTTGACCCCTTTTTCCGTTTAACTTAATTCCACAGTTTAAGAATAAATTTGATATACAAATTAACATTTTCTTTTGAGTAGAAGTTAGTTAAATGTACTGCTGAATTCGGACCTAATGTGCAAACGTTTCAGTTAATAAATTGTGACGTCATAAGCTAAACACATTTTACGAACATACATATATATGGCCGACACCCATTCCTCTTCGTTTTTCTTTTTTCTTGCTTGGAAAATGATTCTTACTTAATTATTTTTTTCGATGTGCTAAAATAAGTATTTTAGAAACAGACATGGCTGGAAATATAATCTTTTATAGATGATGTTTTGTCAAAAACGTTGTTGTGTAAGATTATATTTGAAATAACGAAGCAATGGCATGACGCTGTATCAGTTCGATTCATTTTGGTATTTTTTGTCGTTAATCCCATGATTTTTGAATTAATGGCTTAAACAAAAATCTACAGGAAAATTTCATTAAACTCGATCTTTTTTTAGTCTTAGGGCTTGGTTGAGGTGCTTTTTATGTCTTTACAGAAGTAACAGATTAGTGTCATTAGGTGTAGCAACAAGAAAATCCTGAATTACATTCGTAATAAAGAGAATGGGAATTTCAACAATACAATGTCAGCAGATGTAAAGAATGCAGGGTTAATATTAAAAGATCTCTTGAAGTTATTACTTGAATATATGTCAGATGTAAAAGTTATCTAAAAAAATAATAGCTGTAGCCTACGTAAGTTTCATTCTTTAGGTTTTGTTTCGATCATAATATAGTTGTCTACTATTGCTTTACTACATGATTGATATAGAACTAGACCTAAATAATACATAACAACTAGTAGATGCTTAAAATAGTCTTGATTTAGTTTATGTGCTACTCGATGACTTCTAATTTTAATGATTAAAATATCAATTTTGACACGATACAAAGTTACAGACTATCCCACTACCGTGAAGATTCATAAAAACTTTTCCCTTAACAATCAATCTTAATTTTTATTTGTCCCAGAATTTGCAAAATTTGACTAATTTTATCTGCCAAAAGAAGGTTGCTTTTCTTCTCGCCATGATAGAAGAATGTTTAGCTTATGACGTCACAAGTTAATAAAATGGCGTTTTGAGACTTTGCACGGGACGTGACAACAATGGTAACTTTAGAAGATGATAACTTTTGTCAAAAAAGTTAAATTTTATTTCTGATTTAAATTATAAATTCCAGTTGGCTATTTCTTTTTATTTAGAATAAAGTAGGTGGTCAAAATTCGTTGCATGTGCACTTTAATAGCTCATGATGAATAGGAGCACAATAGGAGCACGCGCTCAATGTATCGCCACGCTAATATATGTACACGGATTTTTCGTGAAAAACAAGCATACTCCAAAATTTGCCCGGTTACTTCATATGACAAACTTTTTTATTAACTTCCTCATAGGTAAATTGTAATGGTAATTGGACAGCGTCACCAATTGTATACAATAGCAGAAGATCCGTGTTCCTAATGGCAAGTTGTGATCCAGACAAGGTCAGATATGCTTGGTCGGACTATCCCTGTGAGTCACTGAAGTGTGCTGTTTACAGTGGAGGACTACCAGCTCCACCATTTATTATGGATGGTCCTTTTTCTTGAAATGAAAACTTAAATGACTGTTAAGACGTATTATCAACTTTCTTTGTGTATCATTCATTTTTTATTCGTTACTGTTGGTCTTTTTTAAATAAAAACTGAAAAAATTATTCTTGTTCTTTAAAATTTAATAATCATTTCAAATAGACGACAATATTTTTCAGTTTTATATTTTTAATCACAGTCATGTTCCGACTTAAGTACAAGCTATCTTCAGTGCGAATGGATACGTTATTTACAATGTTGTTTATATAATATAGAGACATGATGCAAATAAGACGATATTCAATTAAGATGTTTTGCTGTGTTTGCACTGGCTTATGCAATACATAAACGTATTTGGGACGAAGGTCAACTATTGAATTGCATTTTACGTCTTATCTTAGTATTGTATTACGTTTTACCTTGCTGTCAGGCAATAGTTTAATGTAGAATTATCTACGCTTGTAAGCCCGACTCAGGGCGGATCTAGGCCATGGCGAAAGTGACTTGAGCCACGGTCAGAATTTGCCATTAAGTTTTCCAGGGTTGACTTTTTCATGATTAAAATTTTGCTCAAATACAGCAAAATTCGATCAAAAGCAAAATTGAATGAATTTTGTAATTTTTGTCAAAATTTGTGTTAACAGAACAAAACTTCAAATTAAACGTCTTGTTAAAATAGTATTATCATCCAGTTAAAATCTGAACTGTAAAATCACTGAAAGCGTCTCGAATCTTGCCGAATACGCCATGAATATGCTCAGAATATGTTCGTAAATTGAGGCATGCAATCTCAGAATGAAGAGCCACGGTCAGCGTTCAAAAAATTTCGCAATAGTTGCTAAATATAGTAACCTTTAGCCACGGTGCAGCGTTGCAAGCCAATCACAGGAACGTTTTGGTCATGTGCGCAACGGTGAGCCACGGTGAATGTATTTTGATTGCGCAATAAATACAAGTCATATGAAATTGCTCGATTCTTGTCGACTTGAAAAACGCTACTTCTAGTTCTACTCAGCGATTAGGATCAATGGAAACTTCAAAAAGACCGATGTTCTTGAAAGCTCGTCCAAACCTTTCAGCAAGAGAACGCTTGCGAAATTATTTCTGGTGAATTGTCTAACTTGAGACAACACTGTGTTAAAATAATCAACGAGGAAAGGCTTCGTCGTATAAATTCTACTGGCGATATTATGCTACGAACTTGTTCATTTTCAAACTGCAGTTCCTGAAAGCCAAATTGAAGATCAGGACCCAATGTCCCTGTTAGGTAAGAATTTACATGTATTGGGGTATTAATTTATATTTTTATTTACGTTTGACATCTTGGCCTGAAATATATGATCAATCCGTTAATTTTCAGCTATTCATATTTAGTGTATCATGTAAAATATATGTCTAAAGCTGTCATTATTTTGCATACTCAGTCTGTCTAATGTACGGCCTACATAATTTTAATTGTTACTGTCTGTTAAATAAAATGTTTTACTTCAATATTAGTCAAAGCTAGTCTTTTTAAAATTTAACCCAATCAATAATGTATTATCCTTGTATTCCTGGCATTTTATGTTATCCCCTGGTTAAAGAAACTAACATATCATTTTGAATAACTGTTACTTTCTTTCGCGATTTATATAGAATATTGATGCTATAGTAGATGGAATCAATAAGTCGCCTGAATCCTTCGACATGCCTATACTAGTTCCAAATCTTAGACTACCTGCCTGTGACTTTGACTTTATCATGATGTTACCAAATTAACACAAAGAGAAAATAACTTTCTAAATTTCAATATTATTAGTCTATCTTTAACAGTATTGGTTACCCTTATTTATTCTAATGTCAGAGTCAGTCTAGCAGATTTGTTTCCAGGTATAACTTGGTATAACAAAGCAGCCATTGATACTTAAATACTAATTTTTCTTTTAGTACTTTAGCCAATGGAATTTTCTGTTCAATGCATGTTCTATTGCATTAGTTGGGAATGAGACTCTCTATTTACTTGAGATTCCTAACTAGTGTTGAAATGTTTGAGAATGCAAAATACTATTCTACCCATCCTTCTCATCGAGTCCCACCATAAAATGGTGTGTTCACTTCACTTAAAATGCCTTTGCCATGTGTATATGCGATGCAGCTCTAACCTCTTTAGAAAATGCGAATGAAATTGCAGCAGTTTTGCAAGAAGCAGTGGAAAGAGCGAATAATTACACCTTTTCACCCCGATGTGTATGTTTGCTTTGTCCAGTAATCCAGTGTGCTATTCAGTCATACTACCCAATTACTAATGATGCTGAAGTGAAAGAAAATTGGGATTCGTTGGCTAAAATGTTCAATTGTACAATATATCCAAGAGATGTTGTTGATGGGAGTGCAATTGACTATGTCCATATCTTTCGTTGTGCTGCGATGCCACCTTCTTATTTGGTAGATCAAAAAATCCCATCCACCAAAAATCATTTTGTTACTTTGTTTTTAGAGGACCACCTTTGAACATTGCTTTTAATTAATCTTGCCATCTTTACCATTGTTGGATAAACATCTTTGTCGCTGTTGGAAGAAGATCACCTTTGAACATTGTTTTTATTAATCTTGCCAACTTTACGATTATTGGATAAACATCTTTGCTGTTGTTGGAAGAAGATCACCTTTTGACTATGGAAAGATGTTTGGCTAATTTTTCTGATTTTGAGCTGACACTTAATCAAATTACACCATGAAAATATACGAAACCATTGATGTTTTTTACGATCGATATTCCTTCATTAAAATTTCTTAAGACAAGTAACAAGTTCTGCATAAAAACAGAAGACGCGTCGTTGTTTGAGAGCGACAGCGTTTCGATGTTGGATTAAACTATAATTTCCTGAAAGACGTGATACATTAATGGACCTTCGTCCTTCGGACAAGAAAAATTAAGATAATGGTAGTTTTTTCTCCATTTTGCAAAAAGGTTTAGCAAAAATGTAGGATGTTGCAGGAAATTGGGGATTGGGACATCAATCAAAACCGGTTTTTAAGCAGGTTTCCTGGTTTTTCGCGTGTCACTTATGGCCCACAATCCTTTGCGCACCCTCTGCTATAAAGCTATGTGATGTCATCAATTCATCGTCATTTGCGATTGACTTGCTTTGTGCACAGATTCGTACTACTAAAAAAAGTGAAAATTACTTCATTAGCGAACTAAAATATATTGCAATGGATAATGTTCAATTAAACGACATCTTTATTTACGAAGAAACTTCATTAAAAGTTGTTGAACAACTTGTGGCCACTGGTCATTACGGATCAGCGAAGAATATGGAAGAAATTTTGGACATTGCAAAAAAAAGGGCCTCTATTGCAAAACGTCGTATTGAACTGCTCGAAAGATCATTTTACGACCAGAGTGCAGGTACTCTCCAAAATATCTTTTAATTTTTGGGAAAATTTTTTTTTCGTGGTAGTAAAAAATTTTTTTTGTTTATTTTGGTTGCTAAGAAACTTGGATACTTTAGCCGAGATAATTAATTTGTTGCCACGCTACCATGTGCGCGCGCATCACATTTGATCATTGATTGGGAAAATTATAATTGGCTTGTTGCTATGCAACGACTTCATGAGACCCAAGATTGCGACCATGGAATTAGATTAAGTGAGGCGGGATTGAGCGAGATTAGTTGATGTGGATTATGCATAATATGCGTAAAATTATGCAAATTTTTAGTGTTGCTAGGTTACAATAAAACATTTATCGCGAACTGGAATTCAAAACTTTAAATGACAGATTTGAATGTTCAAAGAGTTATTTCAAATCAAAACAAAAAACAAAATCTTTAAAAACGTGGGGAAGAAGACGGCGAATTATTGTGTGAAAAAAATATTCATGGATGATCTTAGATTTTCAATTCAACGATGATTCGCTAGCTCACGCGGCGAAAAATATCAATCAAAATGTTCGTCTTAATGGCGAAAAACATTTTCAATAAAAATTAAAGATTTTCTTCGCTCAATGAAAAGCTTTTGAAAACGGGAATTTGCTCACTTTTGTTCATTTTCTTTTCTTTTAGAAGTTGAATATTTAGCATTATGCTGTGAAGACTTTGGCGTTGGCACAACTGTTGAAGAAAGTTCAGTTAAAGTTGAACAAAATGAAGCAACAGCAGTCAACAAGTCCATTGAAGGAACCACAGCTGTCATTCAACAACAAGCGACTGAAAACGCCATTTCAATCTTGTATGATGAAATAGTTGCAGAAGTTGTTGATGAAATGGTAAAAGCAGGTTGACTTGGTCAATATTGCATTGAAGGACTTTGCTGAGAACTTGGTTGTGCTTGGTGATGATGATGAGCCAGATCAACTTACTGTTGGTAGTGGAGACATCACTGAAACACAAACGTGTTTGTGTTTGAATGATGTCTCCACTACCGTAGATGGTGGTGAGCAGATTTTCCAAGCTCAGCATCCTGTTGATGATGGTAAAATCACCAAAGACTTATTTACTCAAGTTGTTGGTGAAATCAAAAAGGCGTATCTACTCTAGCTGTTTGTGAAATCACTGAAGACTTACCTACTCAAGTTGTTTGTGAAATCAGCGAAGACTTACCTACTGAAGTTGATGGTAAAATCACCAAAGACTTATCTACTCTAGTTGTTGGTGAAATCACCACTGAAGACTTATCCACTCTAGTTGATGTTGAAGTCACCAAAGACTTACCTACTCTAGTTGATGGTGAAATCACTGAAGACTTATCTACTCAAGTTGTTGGTGAAATTACTGAAGACTTACCTACTTTAGTTGATGGTGAAATCACTGAAGACTTACTTACTCAAGTTGATGTTGAAATCACTGAAGACTTACCTACTCAAGTTGTTGGTGAAATCACTGAAGACTTACCTACTCAAGTTGTTGGTGAAATCACCAAAGACTTATGCATTCAAGTTGATGGTGAAATCACCGAAGACTTACCTACTCAAGTTGTTGGTGAAATCACTGAAGACTTACCTACTCAAGTTGTTGGTGAAATCACCAAAGATTTATCTACTCAAGTTGATGGTGAAATTACCAAAGATTTATCTACTCAAGTTGTTGGTGAAATCACTGAAGATTTACCTGCTCAAGTTGTTGGTGAAATCACTGAAGACTTACCTACTCAAGTTGATAATGAAATCAGCAAAGACTTACCTACTCAAGTTGATAATGAAATCAGCAAAGACTTACCAACTACTATTGTTAGTGAAATCACAAAGACCCAAGTACTGTTGGAGATAACGAGATTATTCAAGCCCATCTTACTGTAGATGATGCTGACCAAGGTGAATGCCTAATTAAAATGATCTTCTAGTTAATGTTCATGATAAGCATTCAAAATCCACCTCAGTTGATGATTGTGCTCAAGAAATCAAAATTAATCAGATATATTCCAAAGAAGATAATTGTCACCATAGCATCAGATGTGGAAATCTGAACGAAAATGTTACTGAATCACTTCATGACAATCTTTCACTGACAACACCATCAAATGGCAGAAAGTTGAAGAAAAGAAGGGGATTTTTTCGAAGATTATTTTTTTGCTGTTTCAAGAGTAATGAAACAAGCGACTAAAAAAATTCATAGATGAACAATATTTTATATATATATTCTTGTAAATAGTGAGTAAATCAAAGATAATAAAAGTTTTTACGTAAGATTGTAAATATGTAATTAATGAAATAAATAAAATTATTTACTTACGATATTTTAGTTGTTTGTTTGTTTGAAAACTTGGAGTCTCAAGCCACAACAAAACACGTCTGATGATGATTATCAAATAAAGCGTTGCTTTGAGGGAACTAGGTTCGAATTATGAAAACTAGCTGTCGTTAGATTATAATTTTCAAAAAAATTTATTAAGGAAAGCAGTGACGTAGCTAGCGATCATGCTGGTCATGCCAATGAACTCTAATACACTTAGAAGGCTAACTCAATATATACATGCCTAGACTTGTCTGAAACCATTTAGAAGCTGATATATGCCGCTTCGCGTGTATCTCGCGTGGACTGTTTTATTTGCGTGACGGATTGTTTTGCAAAAACTGCTAACTTGTGAATAGAATGCTAGCCTAAATGTTTTATTTTTTTCAAAACCGTTAGCAAAATTTGGTTATTAATGTGTTAAAATGCATTGTGGACGTTCCAAAACATGTTTTGTATACGTATGTATTATATAAAACATTAAAGTGAGAACTTGCTTCGAAATATGAATTCTTATTTGTCGTCGAAAGACCAAAATTTAAGATAAAACTGATAACAGGTAGTCTGTGTCTTTGAATGCTGTGCAAAATACACACAATCCACTAATATAACATGTTCCATAACAATTTTATTGCTTTTAAAGTTAGACTTGCTTTGTAAGAATTTCATGCTCTTTTTTATGTGTGAAAGTGATGATTTGAAATTTTGAACTGTGGGTGATTGTTGGTTCTTGTCATTTACTTCTCCACTTCTTAAAACTGGTGGAAGATTTGACGTGCATCCATATTTGTGTATTGAGCATTTTATTAGCAAGTTCATGCTTATAAATAAATAGCCAAGTGTACACTATGATAAGTATTGCTAATATAACCAGCTCTACATAAATGCCAAAAAGCAACCCTCATACTCAGTGGTTGAATCAGGGTTTTAAAATGATTATAAAGCAAGCAAAGTTATATCATGTATCAAATTTTTATTGTATATCATATTGATTGTAAAATTAGTTTCTTCTTGTAATACAGATGATGATAAATGTATATGTAATATACTAAATTTTAGGATGTGTGTTTAAAATATTTGGTCATATTTGTGAAAATATATGATGATTCTATAATATTAGACTAATAATCTTTTTCATACTTGTATTACAGTACAATTTTTACTTAAGTGTTTCAAAAGTTATGAATATGGAGTGTCATTTGTGTTTTTGTCTTTTTTTAAGTGGGTATTGACCCTTTTGACTCTTTAATGGTGCAATTAATAATAACACAATAATATGGCATAACAGTTTTTTTTAAAACGAACTCAAAATATTTTTTGCTAACTTTTTGAAATATTTTGCAGTGTTTTTCTTTTTGTTTACGCTCTAAACTTTCAAAAAGGACAGGGGCGAGCTAATTTTGCTCTGAAACACAAAATTACCCAAAACAGCGTTTTTTTTGGCTGCTTCATTTTCAAAGATTGAAACAATATTATAAGGATAGATAAGTGTGTTTTACATCCTTTTATTGAAAAAAACGAGGGTGTCAGTTTTGTATTCAAGTTATAAGGCATGTTTTAACGTGCCAAAACAAAGTTCTTTTTCCTCCTTCTAGAAAGAAGCTTAAACATGTACAAATGTCGTTCAAACTTGTTTTTATAAAAGTCAAACATTGTTTAAGGTTTTTGACAGTAAGCTGGCTCGAAGACCACTGTTTTGTGCAAAAATCAGGCAAGTTCGAAATGATGTATTTCGCCTCCGTACCCTCAATGGCGGCGATCATGCAGGCTTCAATGATGGCGGCCAAGTTAGCCTTCCAGTTGTTGTAGAGTTCATTGGTATTGCATTACGTTTTACCTTGCTGCCTTTATTCTACGCTTACGCCCGACTTGGTCATGCTCTTAATAATCAACAAGTAACATATTTTATAGTGAAATATTTGCTAATCTGATCGTATAAAAGCATCTGAGCATGCTCAAACGCGACAATTTACGTCAACTGGTCATGCTGATTTTCAAGGCATGACTAAACTTAATCCGCGAGTAATTTTCTTTATATGCGAGATTCGTGTTTGTAGTTCATGTACATTCAAAACATTACAAAACACTACGTACTATCTTTTTAATCCATCATTTATTTCCATATATATATATGCTGCTGAGATATCATGGGTTATTGCCGTGAAAGCTTTTTTGCTTGATAATCTGGCTACTCTGGCTATCATCGTAAACCGAAGGCCGATGCCGAAATTGTAATCAACATTGTGTGTTCGAAGCTTTCAGAGAGTTGATACACAAAGAAAGATAGTCTTTATGGAAGAGCAAAGTCAAGATAGCATCGCAAGGTCAGTGATTTTGCTGGCCCTGCCTGTTCCTGGGATTCGAGGATTTCTCTTCACGTCATGGACGATTAAATTTAAGAAACTCAAGACCAATTCGTACATGGTAACTTGTAAATTTGTAAACTTGTAAACTTGTAATGATACTTCACTACGTGCAAGAGACTTTGGCTCTGGCTTGATGTTAACTCTCTTATGTTACAATCACAACGTAAAGACATTCAACTTTAAAATAAAATGAAAGAGGTAAGGGAAAATAGAGCAATCCTCAGAAGATTAACTGCTGTTTTATATTCGAACAGATATAATTGTATTGGTCATGACTAATCAAATGATAGCATAAATAGAGAATTTTAAAGAGCTTCCTGAGAGCTTTGCTATAATTGATTTTGTCTTGAGAAGGTATTTGCATCATAGGCTTGATTGGATGCATGTTCTGCTAATGTGTCACCAGACATGTTAAATGATTTGATTTGTTGACTTGATTTGATCAGAAGATAAAATTTTGAAGGCGATAGATGATTGCTCTTTGTGATTATTCAGCTTGATAAACAATTGATGTTTCTACTAAAAGCAATTAAGTATTATTCACATGAATAAGATGAAGTATCATTGAAGCGGCTTAGATTTGCAGCTATCAGTTGGAAAACAACTGCAACTGCTATTTCAGCTGTATCATCTGTTTGTGCAATAAGTGCCTCTGAGGTTTCCATGTTTATTTAACTTACCTTTTTGCTAATGCTGGTATAACAGTTGCAGTTTATTACAAGTTCCATATGTAAATTCAAGTTGCATTTCAATGATACTTCACTATTTCTCCATTTAAACAATCATACTTAATTGCTCTTTGTTGGAAACATCAGTTGTCTTATCAACTTGAATACATACAAAAGTGAATTATCCATCACTTTTAAAATTTGACTATCTTATCAAGACAACCAAATAAACTCTTTTTACATATCTTGAGTTTGCTCATGTTGTTCATTGTGCTGTCCATAACCTTACTCTTGTATTGTGGCAAACTGCAACCTCAATTTTACTTGTGAATGTTTTCTTTGTTAATGTTTGTGCTTTCCAATTTTTGAAACAATGCTCCAAAGAAAACTTTCTTACTTCCCTCATAAGTAATTAAGTTTTCTTATCCTGGTGATACAAGATGGTGTTATAAAGCTCATATCATTAATGCTGCATGATAAATGTCAGAAAGATTCATCTTTTTATTTATTTCATTATCTAAAACTACCTAATAATCTAACTCCTGTTCAGACAATAAACTTTGTTTTATTCATTTTTATATAATTGTTAGTTTGCCTTCCCCATCATAAAAGTTACATAGTTTGTCAACATAGATAATTGTTTGTAATCTTAAAGAGCAAGAGTGAATTACCGTGTAGTACTAATTTTAGTTAAGGTAGATATTGAATATTGTTTTTAAAACTTTTTATTAGATTTCAAGTGTTACTTAAATATCAACTGGTTGGGTAAATGTTGTTGTTTTGGGGTCGATTGGCGGTCTGAATTTTAAAATTTTTCTTGCTTGGTGCTAACCACAGGTGGCACCTTGAGGCTGTGAAACATGACCAAACATTTTGCTAGCTTCATACTGAAGGAAAGTAAATTTCTTATTTATTGATTAAATTTTTGACTCTGTCTTGTTCAACCACTTAAGCGTAAGACTTACAATTTTTATTTAGGGAAGGTATATGGTTTGTTGGGCTTCAAAATATGATGAATTAAGTCTTTAATTTTTGAATAATAACTTATATATGTGTAGAAATAACTGTAGACTCCTGAATTAGTGTTTTGTAGAGGTAATAAGTGTTTCTATAACTTATATATATGTAGTAATAACTGTAGTATTGAACTCCTCGTGTGTTGTAGAGGTAATAAGTGTTACTATAACTTATATATATGTAGTAATAACTGTAGTATTGTACTCCTCATGTGTTGTAGAGTAATAAGTGTTTCTATAACCTTTACATATGTAGTAATAACTGTAGTATTGTACTCCTCATGTGTTGTAGAGGTAATAAGTGTTTCTATAACCTTTACATATGTAGTAATAACTGTAGTATTGTACTCCTCATGTGTTGTAGAGGTAAAAGTGTTTCTATAACCTTTACATATGTAGTAATAACTGTAGTATTGTACTCCTCATGTGTTGTAGAGGTAATAAGTGTTTCTATAACCTTTACATATGTAGTAATAACTCTAGTATTGAACTCCTCATGTGTTGTAGAGGTAATAAGAGTTTCTATAACCTTTACATATGTAGTAATAACTGTAGTATTGAACTCCTCATGTGTTGTAGAGGTAATGTTACTATAACCTTTATATATGTGTAGTAATGTGACTGATCCCAATTGAAAATAAATTTTCATCAATAACATTCACAATTCAAGACAGCCACTGTTATTGTTTTAAATATAAAATTATTATAAAGAAATCAACCCAACATTGCCCGAAATTCTGTACAATTTGTTTTATTTTAGTAAGTAATCACTCCAGATGAGTGTCAAGCAACATCTGTATGATTTACAAGTGTGAAGAAATGTAAAGTTTTTATCACAGAACTTGTTGAAAATTCATTACTTCGAAGTCTTATGATTATTGGCAAGAGACAGGATAAAAGTAAGTTGTAATTTTCATCAACATAAATATATTGTTTTTATCAAAGAAATGAAATTGTGTCCAAAGAAAACACGATTTATATAGTTGATATTTTGATTGTGAAACACACTTTTTTCAGTTTTGACACAAATCTATTTTCAGCCATTTGTGATCGCGAAGCTCAGCTATTTTGTTTCGCCTGTATTAAAGTGATAACCATCATCTGACTATGGAAAGATGTTTGGCTAATTTTTCTGATTTCGAGCGGACACTTTATCAAATTACACCATGAAAATATGGAAACCATTGATATTTTTTACGATCGATATTCCTTCATTAAAATTTCTTAAGACAAGTAACAAGTTCTGCATAAAAACAGAAGACGCGTCGTTGTTTGAGAGCGACAGCGTTTCGATGTTGGATTAAACTATAATTTCCTGAAAGACGTGATACATTAATGGACCTTCGTCTTTCGGACAAGAAAATTAAGAAAATGGTAGTTTTTCTCCATTTTGCAAAAAGTTTAGAATAAATGTAGGATGTTGCAGGAAATGGGGATTGGGACATCAATGAAAACCGGTTTTAAACAGGTTTCCTGGTTTTCATGTCATTTATGGCCCACAATCCTTTTCGCACCCTCTGGTATAAAGCTATGTGATGTCATCAATTCATCGTCATTTGCGATTGACTTGCTTTGTGCACAGATTCGTACTACTAAAAAAAGTGAAAATTACTTCATTAGCGAACTAAAATATATTGCAATGGATAATGTTCAATTAAACGACATCTTTCTTTACGAAGAAACTTCATTAAAAGTTGTTGAACAACTTGTGGCCACTGGTCATTACGGATCAGCGAAGAATATGGAAGAAATTTTGGACATTGCAAAAAAAAGGGCCTCTATTGCAAAACGTCGTATTGAACTACTCGAAAGATCATTTTACGACCAGAGTGCAGGTACTCTCCAAAATATCTTTTAATTTTTGGGAAAATTTTTTTTTCGTGGTAGTAAAAATTTTTGTTTATTTTGGTTGCTAAGAAACTTGGATACTTTAGCCGAGATAATTAATTTGTTGCCACGCTACCATGTGCGCGCGCATCACATTTGATCATTGATTGGGAAAATTATAATTGGCTTGTTGCTATGCAACGACTTCATGAGACCAAGATTGCGACCATCAGAATTAGATCAAGTGAGGCGGGATTGAGCGAGATTAGTTGATGTGGATTATGCATAATTTGCGTTAATTTATGCATATTGTCAGTGTTGCTAGGTTACAATAAAACAATTATTGAGAATTGAATTCAAAACTTTAAATGACAGATTTGAATGTTCAAAGAGTTATTTCAAATCAAAACAAAAACAAAATCTTTAAAACGTGTAGGAAGAGGACGGCCAATTATTGTGAAAAAATATTCATGGATGATTTGAGATTTTCAATTCAAAGATCATTCCTTGCACACACGGCGAAAAATATCGATGTTCGTCTTTATGGCGAAAAACATTTTCAATAAAAATTAAAGATTTTCTTCGCTCAATGAAAGATTTTGAAAACGGGAATTTGCTCACTTTTTCTCATTTTCTTTTCTTTTAGAAGTTGAATATTTAGCATTATGCTGTGAAGACTTTGGCGTTGGAACAACTGTTGACGAAAGTTCAGTTAAAGTTGAACAAAATGAAGCAACAACAGTCAACAAGTCCATTGAAGAAACCACGGCTGTCATTCAACATCAAGTGACTGAAAACGCCATTTCAATCGTGTATGATGAAATAGTTGCGGAATTTGTTGATGAAATAGTTGCGGAAGTTGTTGATGAAATGGTAAAGCAGGTTGAGTTGGTCAATATGCATTGAAGGACTTTGCTGAGAACTCGGTTGTGCTTGGTGATGATGATGATGATGAGCCAGATCAACTTACTGTTGGTGGTGGAGACATTCAAACACAAACAGTTGATGGTGGTGAGCAGATTTTCCAAGCTCAGCATCCTGTTGATGATGGTAAAATCACCAAAGACTTATTTATTCAAGTTGTTTGTGAAATCAAAAGACGTATCTACTCTAGCTGTTGGTGAAATCACTGAAGACTTACCTACTCAAGTTGTTTGTGAAATCACCAAAGACTTACCTACTCAAGCTGATGGTGATATCACCGAAGACTTACCTACTCAAGTTGATGTTGAAATCACCAAAGACTTACCTACTCAAGTTGTTGGTGAAATCACCAAAGACTTACCTACTCAAGTTGATGTTGAAATCACCAAAGACTTACCTGCTCAAGTTGATGTTGAAATCACCAAAGACTTACCTGCTCAAATTGTTGGTGAAATCACTGAAGACTTACCTACTCAAGTTGTTGATGAAATCACCATAGACTTACCTACTCAAGTTGATGTTGAAATCACTGAAGACTTACCTACTCAATTAGATGGTGATATCACCAAAGACTTACCTACTCAAGTTGATGGTGAAATCACTGAAGACTTACCTACTCAAGTTGTTGGTGAAATCACCGAAGACTTACCTACTCAAGTTGATAACAGAATCAGCAAAGACTTACCAACTACTATTGTTAGTGAAATCACAAAGACCCAAGTACTGTTGGTGATAACAGAGATTATTCAAGCCCATCTTACTCTAGATGATGCTGACCAAGGTGAATGCCTAATTAAAAGTGATCTTCTATTTAATGTTCATGATAAGCATTCAAAATCCACCTCAGTTGATGATTCTGCTCAAGAAATCAAAATTAATCAGATATATTCAAAGAGGATAATTGTCACCATAGCATCAGAAGTGAAAATCTGAACGAAAATGTTACTGAATCACTTAATGAAAATCTTTCACTGACAACACCACCAAATGGCAGAAAGTTGAAGAAAAGAAGGGGATTTTTTAGAAGATTATTTTTTTGCTGTTTCAAGAGTAATGAAACAAGCGACTAAAAATTCATAGATGAACAATATTATATATATATATTCTTGTAAATAGTGAGTAAATCAAATATAATAAAGTTTTACGTAAGATTGTAAATATGTAATTAATGAAATAAATAAAATTATTTATATACGATATTGTAGTTGTTTGTTTGTTTGAAAACTTGGAGTCTCAAGCCACAACAAAACACGTCTGATGATGATTATGAAATAAAGCGTTGCTTTGAGAGAACTAGGTTCGAATTAAGAAAACTAGCTGTCGTTAGATTATAATTTTCAAAAACAAAACAAAATAATTTCTTAAGGAAAGCAGTGACGTAGCTAGCGATCATGCTGGTCCAGTGAACTCGACATTTGAATAACTGGAATGATAACCGAAGCCAAAATTGAAGCCAAAAATATTTGTTGTCATCATTCGTCATCACACGTCAGGCTCTAGTCCTCGCGTGTTCATTTTAATTTTTTTAAATCATTTGTCCTTTGGTAATGGTAGAGTTCGGATCTTGATCAGAGCGTAAAATAACGAATTTTTGGAATGAAAAGGTTCACGGAAAGTGAATCAAAGTGATAAATCGAGAAGCAAGATGAGGTGAACTTAGTCGATCTGCTCTTACGCTGCGGTTTTCCTTTAAAACATATCAAAGTCTTTAAGGATATTCAATTGTTGATATCGAGATGACAACCATTTAGTATTTCAAGTTTCAAGCACTATCAAAATCGATGAAAAATACAATCGCTCTGTAAAAAGTAAAAATGCGAGTTATAGACTCAATATTTTTTATGAAACTGGATATTCAAGTTTCTTTTTTATTCGGAAAAACAGATCTTTAAATCCACTTAAATGACAAAAAAGACAAACACTGTCTGACACCGTTTGAAAGTTTACTTTCCGACGAAAGAAAAATTTATGCTTGAATATTTTCTCGTCATATTTTCTATTGTATTGTCTTTTTAGCAAACAGTGTAATTTTCAGTTGGCTTTTCCTCGTTACAAGTTGTAAGTTACAACGAACTCACTGTAGTAAAGTTTCAGCTGTAAAAAATAACCTTTTGCGAGGAGTTGGCCTCGTGTGTTTGTTTGTCGTGATGTTGTTTATATGTTTATGCTTTTGCAATTTGTATTCAAATTTATATTGGCCGTGTATGTTTGGCACTCAGGGAATGAAACTGACGTACAAACCGCGTGAATAATCTACTTTGAAGGACTGGAATTGACGTACAAACCGCGCGAGAGACTAGGACTTTGGCTTCAATTTTATATCTATAAAATGTATTGTCGTTATCATTCCAGATATATATATATATATGGAGTTCACTGTGCTGGTCATGCCAATGAACTCTAATACACATATGTGTACAATTTTTCATATCAACGGCCTCGATGGCTTTAGAATTACTTTTCAACAATAGCTGGGCGAATT